ATCTAACTAAGAAACCTTAGTTATAAAAGTGCTAATCTTGGCGATAACCCTGACGACCCCCTAATGTATGCAATGTGCCGTGTCAGCAAAAGTCTCATGCTCGTGAAGATGATTCAAATGCGATACAGGGGTGCGACTTTTAGTTAAACATTTCAACTCAGTCATTGGCTTGACAGTAGCCTCGCGGCCTTTCCCGAACGCCACGACCCGACCCGACTAGAAGCACACTGCTGGTAATCTTCCGGAAAGCTCTATCTGATAGTCCTTTTTCAAGTAGAGAAATTACAGTCGCCACCCAACGCCAACTCCTTGAACCTTCAAAACCGCCCCAATCCGATGTTTTTCTTTTCGTTGCACTTGATTCGTGAATCAACCAAGCCTACGACACACGACGCACCCTATGCGACCGCCGCCTCAAACCTCCCGAAGGATTTTCGGTAACTTTTGGGGTTTCTGGCTGCGGCGTCACATGCCTTGGATCGCCCTTCCCGGGCCTCATCGAGCCCTTCTACGGCTCGAGGTGAGACCATTCGGGTATGGCCTTGATCTGCTGCCACATGTATTTCTCCAACTTGTTGGCGCTCTTCGCATACGGCGTAGACTCGTTATTGTACTTGCGACAGTTGTCGAAGACGAGCTTGGCATCCCTGATAAAGTCCTCTGGCGTGGCGTACTGATCTGCTTCGAGCTTGGTCTCCATCGTACTAAGATCCATGGGTTCCTTGATAACTTCGTAGTAATCGGCGACGTCGTCCTTGTTAACGGGTACGAGGAAGGGCCAGGCAGACTGGTGGTTCTGCAGGTCGTTGAGGAGGTGGAGAAGCTGGTTGTAATTGGGACCATGGCGGGGCTGGCGGGCAAGCTCGTCCATATCGGGCGACCAGCCTGATGCGCGGATGGCGCTGATGGTGAGCGGGTCGATTGGCTTGGCGCCAGACTTCCATTCTTTTGGCGGAGCGTGGACGATGTGCGATTTTGAGTAGGCGCGGATCTTGGCCTGAACGCACTCCTTTTGCTTCAAGAGCATGCGACCCATTTCGAGATATCGGATGCGGGGCAGCATTGAACACTGCATGATCGTACCGCCCTCGTAATCCTTGATGTAACCCATCCATACACTCTTATCCAGCGTGATCTCTTTGGTGAAACCTTGTTTTTTGAAGTATCCGATGGCGTAGTTGTCGGCATAGGTGAGGAAGTGCATCACGTCGCTGGTGGCCTTGACATAGTCCTTCAAGTGGGACATGAGATGCGCGCCGTATCCCTTAACCTGCTGATCAGAACTAATGGCGCAGAAGACGATTTCGGCGAACTGGCGGCCCTTGAAGGGGCGGTAGGTGATGCCGCCGACGACCTCGAGGGGCTTCTTGACGATCGCGATGGACAAGTGGGTCCGGTCGTAGACGAGTCGCGCGATGTAGTCTTTCGGCATCTTGGGGAGCTGCTTTTGGAAGATGCATTTGAGACCGGTGAGGATGATGAGGGATTCGCGCTCGTTGTCGTTGTTGACTACCCGGAACTCGATCTCGCCGGTGCGCTCTTCGATGACAGCGGGCTGTCGCAAATCGTGGTCAGCTTCAGCGGGTCCATGTGGAGGAAGCGCATAGAGAGCGCGTAGCGAGCATCAACTGCGCGATGGTTGCGACGCAGCTTTGTAAGTCGAACTCACCTTTTCAGGGAAGGGGATGGGCTTCATCGCCGGCTTCTTTTCTGGTTCGGCCGACTCATTGTGCTTGACCCGTTTATTCGCGATCGGGGAGGACGGCTCCTCCTCAGCCTTGCGCTTCGTGGCTGTGGCCCGATGTTAGCACGTGCCTAGGGCCATTTTTTGAATAGCGACCATGCGACTTACTCTCTTCCTTCATTTTGACCTCGATCGCGAGCCTTCGCAGGCCTATTTCGATGAACCTTGTCGATGGATGATGTCGAGGTGGTTCCTGGACGGTTGATGACATGCCGCGCTAGGCCCTGTCGTTTCTCCGTTGCCGGATGGCGCCAAGTGGGTCGATGCACAAGGGGAAAGTGGGATGGAGCTAAGCCCTTTCTGGTTCAGGCCACAATTCACGGTGGGACCCTTTGGAGCTCAGAACACGTTTGGGGGAAGCTACAATCCGCGCTTCATGATCTCCCATTGACAGCACTCTCCGGATACATCTGGACATTCACGACTCTGTGCAAGCCCTGTTCAACGGTCCGGACCACCTTCTGCGACACCGACGCAAACGACTCAGACACGAAAGAACAATCAATCGTCTTCTCCTCGATCAGCAGATGGACTCCTCGTTGCTTGAGGTCTGGCAAGCTGCTGCTAGCACGCCGTTCCAACCCGCCGTCGCCAAGGATTCCCAATTCTTCATTGCGTTCCTTCTTCTCCTCATTGGTGTTGCTATCACTGGTTTCTTCGCTCTGAGTAAGCTTTGTTCGAGAACCTTCATTCGAAGTTCATCGCCTAATTTTTCAATGCAGATCGTTCCTTCATCAACATCCCAGCGCTCGGTGTGCCTGCCTCAGCTGCAATTGCGTAAGCCAGACGGCCTCCATTCCCCAGTCGAGATCCTGTACTAATATCGCATTTAGATTCGGCACGGTTTACATGTTCTGCGCGGTCGGAGTCTACGTCTAAGATACCCCAAGAAGCTTTTCAAGTCGGCGGCGACCTTGTACTTTAGAAAACAACCAAGAACTTCCATTTCACCAATCTCTCCATATCGGGTGACTTTCCAAATACACAGTTCTGCAGCGCCAGTAGAAGTCATGTCGGCTGCCCTTCCCCAACCCAGTGCGGTACCGCAGCCGCTGTTCCGTGCTGTGGCCAGCTCGACGAGACCGCTATATCAGTTGCTGAGGACCATCAGCTTCTCCAACAAGGTCCATGTTCAACTCCAGGAAGATGGTATCAGGTTTGCTGCAGATCTTTCTAGAGTTATGCAAGGCAAGTTTGGCAATGAAGTGTTTGTAGTGGGCAGGATGGCTGACCATCGTCTAGGTACTGCCTTCCTCGACAAGAAACTCTTCACGTCCTACTCTCTGAATCTTGCGGAGGACGAGCCATTGCCCAACTTCCAAATCACGCTCCCGGCACTTCTCGAGACGCTTCAAATTTTCGGCGCGGTAGACATTGCAACGCGAACGCAAAAGGCCGAGCAGGACCCGTACCGGAGCAATCTCCGCAATTACCGACCAGATGCGTTTAGTAACCAGACTCTGGGAATTGGCGGGACCTGCAGCCTGGTGTATACCGAAGAGGGCGGCCAATTCAACATTATCATCGAGGAAAGCGGAGTCAAGACTACCGCCAGCCTCACAACCTATTTGCCGGAAATCCCAGAGGAGATACCCTTTGACCGGGAAAACCTTTTTTTCAAAATCATCATGCAGGCGCGCTACCTTCTTGACGCCTTGGCCGAGCTTGCACCCACCGGCCCCAGCCGCCTAACCATATCAGCCTCGAAGAGTCAACCCTACCTTTCCCTTTCCGGTGCTGGCGACCTGGGGTCGTCCAGCGTGGACTTCGCCAAAGGCCGCGAGCTACTGGAGACTTTTTCAATCCAGGATCGATGGACCCAGACCTACAAGTTCGATCTGATCAAGTCTTCCAGCGAGGCGATGCGGATCGCTAGCAAAATTAGCTTCCGCGGCGATGCCCAAGGCGTTTTGAGCTTGCAATTCATGGTTGAGGTGGAGGGCGGCGGAGTCAGCTTTCTGGACTTTCGGTTTGTGCCATTCATCACGCACGAGGACGATGAGGATGAAGAGGGACAGGATGAGGATGAGTAATTCAAGGCAACGTGGTGCCCTGCCCTACCTACCCTAGCACATAGATGAATGATAATGGAATTTTCCCAGGGTTACCGGTATCGCAACGGGTTTGAATTTTCCGTTGCTATCTCTGGCTTTTCGCATACCTTCCGCTTGCGTCGACTTTGACAATAGGCCGTGCTGCATTCCCGAAGCTAGGGCGAACAATGTGTAGCGCTAGCCTTTCCTTGAAGAATTTGGCTCCCAGTCCGCATATACGCCATGTGCGCCTCCCTTGAGAATGACAGCTCGGCTGTTGCCCACGGTCTTCACGCCGGTCTGCTGCCAACAGCATCGATCGCGGGAGCCTTGTGGCTCTTGCCTTTAGTAGAGGCAGCAGTTGGCCTGTCCTGCGGATGTGATGGCTCTTGAGAGAACATGACGCGCTTGGTGTCTAGTGAACGTCCATTCCTCTCGAAGCATTCCAGCCATTGGCCAAGCCACCGTGGAGCCGGACAGCAAGAATTGGCAAGCCTGGTCCCAGCAGGTCGGGGCTTACACAATGGGCCGGCCGAGGCAGTAATGTGGCCGTGAGGAATTTGGTCGCAAACGGCAAGGGCGTTGACGGGGCGTTGCGACGGACTTGTTGATGTCTCAGTCGGGCTGAGGTATGCGCAGAGGCTGCGCGGACTGCGCGGGGGCATGCGTGGGCATGTTGGCTGGAATCTTTGTCGTTCCTGATCCCATCATGGGCGCTGACAGCGTGTGTGTTGACTGACAACGGCCACATTTTTGCCCACGTCGCCCTCCCCGCTCTCTCTTCCCACCCGGTAGATAAATCTCTCGTCCGCTTGCGGAAGCATCCTGCTCCGCCTCTGCCTTTTGCGGACGTACCATCGTGAACCGGTCCTGAACTAAATATCCTATCCTTCAACTTGTGGTGGTTATAGCTCCATCTTATTTTTCCCTACTGCGCTTTTCTCAACTTTCCTTTGAACGCCTCTCGAAAATCCCACCATCCTTTCGGCTCTGATCTGTTGTGTCCATCTGACAATTCGATCCTATCGCGTGGCTGCTCTTTTGTTCGGCATCGACAATCTCAGACTCATCTCTTTGCTCTCGTGTCTTTAAAACCTCGTGGTCCAACCCGCCCATCCATCTCGGATTCCGTTCTCAGCAGCATAACGCTCTCAACGCCTTTTCCAACAATCAAAGAAGCCAGACAATCATCCTTGTCGACTACATTCTCCCGATTCCTTTCAATGAACACCCCTGGATCCTTCGGAATCGTCGATTACTCATTCCCAATGTGGTCCAAGAAGCACGTCGGCTCCTGGCTCGATGCCTTCAAGCCTGGTCGCCGCTCCTCCACCTCATCTTCCTCTACCGCTTCATCAGCACCGTCCTCTCCTCGGTCCGCCACCTTCTCCTTGTCCTCGCGCATGGGCTCCAACAGCCGGAGTGGCTCCTTGGCCTCTTTGACGTCGATGGGCACCATGGAGGAGCAAGAGTCCCTCATGGGTGACCAGCCCAAGCAGGCCGCTTACGTGCCGCGCCACGCGGCCAAGTCGTTCATGAAGACGACTACCTCTAAGGAGATCCGCAAGCAAAGCGAGATTATGTGAAGAATCACCGATCCCGGATACCTGACCATGAAAACAACAAAAAAAATTTCCAAAAAAACAACATTCGATACCCGGAAAGTTACCATTCCTCGATTCGGCCTACTCCAAGAGGCCATCAAGTCGTCAGACTACGACGACCAAAGAGTTCATCGAGATGGTAAACTATACCACCTCACCCATCTTATTCCCTTGAGTCAAACAACATCATTTACTCAACTATTACTATTTCGAAAGATCATCGGCGCACTCCCATGCAGTCATTATCAACGGCGCTTGCTCGCTTTTTCCACTTGGCAAAGTCAGAAAGGTTTGGGCGGTTGGAAGACGTCCAGAAATAGGCCACGAAATGAGCCTATGTTCTCTTTTGTAGAAGGAATCGTCATCACTCACCAGAAAAAAGGGCCAACACAAGGGCCGCAGAGTCGGGATGTCGATAGAAGAATGAGCTGCCGGCGACGCAACATCGCGCAACTAATAGCAAGATTTGGACTCGGCAGCCCGAGCCAATCAGATTAATACCCAATACCTTAAGATCAAAATCTCTTAATGTGACTATCTTTTCCCGTGCTTACTTGCCTACCTGCCACCCGTCCATGCCTGCAACAACTCAACTCAGAGCCAGATTTGGAAACGGCTCGCGAATCCGACGCTGACCGGCCGAAAGACGAGGGTCTAATTTGAATCGTACCTTAAATTGGCATTGTGCAAAGGCAGATCCTCTCCACCGCCGCTGTCGGACCTCATCGTGCTCTTACGCGCGTCGATCTGTAATACTGTACGTCCGTATGCAGTCTCCACTCTCAAGAATCATTCTATTGCTTCCATTGCGGACCTTTTCTCGGCAGGATCGGGTCTAGGAGGCAAACCCAAAGTCTAGAGAGTGTCCTGAGCTGCTGAGCATAATCGACTGATGCCAAGTTGGGGGGAACGGGGGCTTTGTGCGCGTTTACGTCCGTACGGACTTTTGGGAACTTCAGAGTCCACAGGCCACACGCACTGAACACAGCAATAGGATTCAAGGGAAATCCATGGAAAATACGGACGGGACGGCAGACAATGAATATGGGGTTTACCAGCCAGGGTTAGGACATGGGGCCAGAAATCACCGAGACCGACAGCTTTTCTACATGAAATAGAAAAGAGTCGAAAGGAAAAAGCAAGACTGCCTTGGGAAAGTTGGAGAGAACGAACCACGATGTCTCAGCTCTTGCGAACCGCGAACCGCGAACCTCGAGGGGCTATCAATGTAACGCGGGCGGACTGGCGGCAGGGGGTTCAGAAGGACAGGGGGGGTTTTTGCAGCAGGAGGGCAGAAGCTGCCGGCTCAAGGTGCCATTCATGAGGTCGGAAATAGAACGGCTAGCCTCCTAAGGCTGCCTTGTCTTGGCCTTGGCCTGGTAGAGTTTAGGTGTATTACTCGGTTGCTGACTCTCAACGTTCTTGTCGACATGGCTAATCAAGGCCTGTTTATTCCAGAAGTGAAGTCAAGAAATGAAGAATTGACTAGAGTCATCGGGGGGTTGGAGTTGTGCGCCAGTCGCGTCTGGTGGGTGATTTGAACTGGGAGGGGAAACGACAGAAATCAAGTGAAGCATGGCCTGTTCAGCGGCCTTGAAATGGGCAGAAGAAAAGAGCAAACGTTTTCTTTGTTCGGAGCTGTGGTGCTGGTTGGTTGACGAGAGTGGAAATGGGTAGTTGGCTCGCCTGATTCTTCTCAGAACAGCCAGCTTATCCAACAACAGCTTTGGGGTTTCAAACCCAACGGCAGCCCTCAGCAGCCGCCGCGGCCCCCAAACCGAGTTGCTAGTTCAAGGCACAAACATGAGATCCTGCCAGGGCCAGGAAGGTTAATGGTGTCTCTGTGTCTCTTGTCCCTGTCACTCTGTCTCTGGTGTTTGTGTTGTGCGTGGGTGCTTACCAGCATGTCAAGGACCAGAAAGAGAGAGAGAGAGAGAGCAGGGCGCCCTGGCAAGTCCAACTCAGTTTGGATGTCAGCTGGCGGGCAACTGTGGGGGCACTCTACCCTACGAGCGGCCGCTAAGAGCCCATACTCAACTTATCCGCAACGCATCTGAACCTTGAATAGGTGGTTAGCAACCACGCAACTTAGCCACCACAAATCAGCTGTGCTTGTGCTGGGCACTGGGCGGCATCGAACACGAACCCTTTGCTTCTTCATCACCGCCTTTGCCGACAAGCCAGCCAACCAACAACGACATGCCATGTACGATAGACGTCACCGGTCGATATTCTGCTTGCCCGTTTACGGCCGCCGGGGAAGGGTATGGGGAAAGACTAAGAGAAGCAGTCTTCCGCCCCCCCGCCCCCCCCCCCTTCGTCAGCTTGGTCACGCCCGCTTGGCTTGTCTGACTAACAAACGGTGGATGGGAAGACTCTGCAGACTCGAGGACATCCACAAAGCCCATCTCAGCCTGTGATGGGTGAAGATTCTCTTCCTGTCCTCGAACGCATGCTGTTTCTGAAACAAACACCCCCTCAATACTCGCCCATTCTCACATCGCGTCAGCGGGAATACGCAGGAGAACATGGCCCGGAGGCCAATGTCTCCATTTTCCAAGTTCCGAGTCGTGTCCCCGGCAGCATCGATTCGCGTCCTACCCCTCGTTCGGTACTAGAGGCTCTGCATCTTCTCGGCCTGCGTCCGGTGGACGCGGGTAATGCCGAACGATTGACACTGGCGAGCCTGGGGATTGCCTTGCCCCGTCAGTTCCCTACCTGGAATCTGGATTGTTCGGGTTCAGGGCCCCTCAATGAGGGACTGATTCCCTGCAGCTTGTCCTAGAGGGCTGCGCTGCCCACACCAATCTGGAAGATACGGGAATAGTCATTCGTTGGAAGCAGCGAGTCGCTGCTGTCTCAACTGCGGCCAAGCAAGTGCTTACCGGTCGCCGGTCGGTGAGAGTGAGGTGAGACTCGGCACTTAAGGACATCCATCTAGAAGATCGTCGTCGGTCAGCAGTTCGCTGGCAACCACCGACTTTTCATTCTCGAGATTGCGGCATGGCCGTTCAACCCCAGCTGCCCCAGGCGAGCAGGGCACGGCCCGGTTCTATGGCTTTCCTGGGAGCGAGCTGTCACCGTTTCGACGTTTTCCGCTGGCAATATGTCGTGCTTTCTGGGCACCAGCCGTCTTCCTTGTCAGGACGTTGAACAGCTTGCTATATCTCCCACTTTCGCTACTTTCGAGCTCTCGCAAAACCCTCGGTCGTGGCTGGCAGGTCGGTGCCAGGGTGACGGGCCGGATTAGATCCAACTGGTTGCTCCTCTCTGCACGTCGCCGCCCGCGTCGTCGTACGGCGAGGACTTCTATCGAGTTGCATCTCGCTCTAGAATGCAGCTGACCGATGGTTTGTCGTTTAGTACGACGACTGGCTCCAATAGTAAGATGAAGCGAATCCTGCCGAATCCCGCGCTCTGCGCCGGCCACGATGTTCCATATTGTCTCGATGGCTTCGCTGTCAATCACTCCATAAGGCTGACTGCACGAAGCTTGATGGGACTAGGGACAGAAACATGGAAGACAAGATTGAAGAGGGCGACAAGGTGTTCCAAACATAACAGTAAAGCAATATGGATTCATTTGTTCGCAACATTCACATATCCCACGCTGGAAGGGCCGGCGATGAACAGATGCGATGCCACCCTCCCTTTGGGGCCGCCTACCACCCCAAGATCCCTCCGGAGAAGTCTCCCGCCCCCCCTCGAGAAGAATTGTACTTTTGAAAATCGCGAAGGCCAGTAATAGCAACCAGCAGACACAGCCAATGGCTGGATACCAAAATAACGGGAGCCGGGCAGCGAGCAACCCCCGGCCGGACTGACAAGACACGACTCTGCAGCCTCCGCTCTCACGCAGTTTGCCTGCACGACCAGACAGGGGCCAGGTTGGCTTTTTGCACCGCCGCAACATGCATACACAGCACCGCACCTCACCACACACACACGACCACTTTCATTACCACCCTCCACCTGTCATTGTCCATGGGTAAGTAGATCTGCCCGTCCAAGCTGATAGCTTCCCTGACTAACACCCCCAATTCGACCATGATAGGTACTGTATTGGGTACGGGCACAATTATCAGCTGGTCCAAGATGGCCCCGACTCGCTTGCTTTTGTTTGTCCTACACGCAGATCGAGAACAACATACATACAAGCCAGTCCTCGGCCTCTTGCCATGTCTCCAGATGGCATCCATTATTCCTTTCCCCTTTGTCCTTGGGCTCATTCCCCCAGTCATGGATCTCCTTCCTAGTCACGTCACTCGTTAAGCACTGCATGATATTCCCTCCCCTCCCCTTCGTATCATCATATATGGCATGTACTAGACGTGGTGAGCCCATACTGTTCTTGAGCTGCTGCATGAATTCCCTTTGTACGCCCAAGTATTCGACAGGATGTCTCGGTCGAGCTTTAGCATACGGAGGCTTATCTCACCTCGCCGCTCTCAGACGATAGATGAGCGCCGTCATTCTGAAGACTCTGTTGGAAGCGAGGATATTTCATTGTTCAAGTCTCGAAGGAAACAACAAAAATCAAAATCTTGGGCGCCTGTCAGGCGTCCATCCAACCCCAAGCCCAGAAGACCATCGAGAGAGGAGACCCTCGTACGAAGAACACAAAGCATCAAGAGGATACCGACAGAAGGCCCATCTTGCCCACAGGGATCACCACATTCGTCGTCGAGTTCTTTGAGCAGTTGCGACTGTCATACAGACACAGCCTCGACCAACACCAGCTATGGCACTCTTTGTTCCCCTCGACTCCAAGAGAGGCCCTCTCGATCAGCGGCCCCGAAACGTCTCGCCGAACGTCGACACCTTTGCATCTCCCCTCTATCACCACCTCCTAGCAGAAAGCCCAGACCACTGTCGACGGAAGCGATCATCAAGGCTCAAGAGGCTGGCAACATAGATCTATCAGAACATCCCGCACTTAGAGAGACCATGACCCCTCCACCGACCCCAGAAGACGACGGCTTGGACCGCTGGTCCTTGAATGTCCAGCAGCTCATTAGAGAAACCGATGAAGCCTTCAAGGCCGTAGGAACAGCAATAGAAGAGGCGAAGATGGCCGTTTCGACTTTCCCGTCACATATCGAGACGGGCTCCGGGTCGACATCACCAACCCCTCCTAACATGGCGAAGCCTGACTCACCAAGCCTTCCACTGCTGAGTCTGCAGTCTCGAAACAGCACCCCAGCGCTACCTCCTCCATTGCTGAGCACCTCGGCATCATCTGCTTCGAAGCCGAGGAGAAAAAAGTCAAAGAAATCAAAACGGGTCAAGATGAGATCCAAGAAGTCTGCCCGATGGCAGCTGGGAGAAGATGTAGCCGACATCCTCACCGGACAATTCTTCCGTAAAGTAGAAGTCGATGAGCTTCTTACACCGGACCGCCTCCATGCACTACGACTGGAGAGGGAGTCTCAAGGACAGCCACGCCGATCGAGCGATACTTTGAGGACTGTAAGCACCGATGGAAGCGAGACGCCCGTTGAGCCCTTTCACCTCCAAGACCTCCTTTCTCGCATCGGAGCAGCCGGGGCAAAGACCTCCATCACGCCTTCTGAGGCTATGACCCCACCCGAGCTTCTCGACCCAAGTGTACTACGAGACTTGCCCTTCAAAGAAAAGTCGCCGCGGAGGAAGAAGCCTGTATCCAAGGATGAATACGAGGCTGAGGATCCGACGCAGGCTGTTCCTCCTCCACCGGCAAAGAACCCGGCGAGATTTCTTCCTAGACCGCAGGCGCCACTGTTACCGACGATTCCCGAAGTAGTCGTCACCACGCCTGACGTGGGAGGCCAATCAGCAAAACACAGCAACAGGCATGCACGAACATTCGCACCCGTTGACGAAGACGACTTTATATTCTTCCAATCGACACCATTTACGTTCAACCATTCCGCCTTCAAACACGGCAATATACGTTTCCCCAAGTCAGAAGTCGTCAAGGGGCTGAAAATCGACCCCGATGATACGCTCGACTGGACGGCCTTCCAGATGGCCATCCTCGGCGGCGCGGGCGACCTCTTCTCAGACCCCGCAGATTTTTCGCAGAGAACAGAGGCCGAAGAGATTGCCGACCTTACAGCGTGGTTCGATGGCTTCGGCTTCGATAGCCACAGTCGCCTGCTCACCAGCGACGCGGATGAGCCGACGAGCCGGCTGCAGCAAAGGTCCCGCGCGTCCACCGTGGACTGCTCACCAAAGTCCTTTGGCAGAGTCTCGCGGGACAGCGACTTACCCATCCCCGTGAAGGCTGAGCACCCTACCGGGTTTTGGAACGAAGGCAACGTCAACGTGTCCAAGTTCCTGACGCAAGGGTGTAACATTCGGCGGTGGACGATGGAGGGCCAGCAACAGCATCCCAAGCGGCAGAACCGGGAGAGCATCGGGAGCCTGCCGCCTAGTCCGATGATGGACCTGGTCATGATGAGAGGCTCTGATGGGGAGCCCGAGGTTGTGCCTATGGGATATAATTTGGGACACGACCTTGGGGATTTCTTGCGATGGGAGGCGGAGAATGTCTATGCTACGGGCATTTACTGAGCGGTATGGACCGGCACGGAATCAGGATTGGAGTAAAAATTGAGTACCTAGGTATCTAAAGTAGTATTGTAATGTTACAACCAACTTACCTTGGATGGCGTGTGAATCTTTCTCTCATTGTGTGTGTACACCCCATGTCGACTGACATCTACTTCGCCCGAGAATATCACCAAAGTGAACTTCTGTCAAACAGGCACCAACAATCCAACGTCGCAACGTCGCAACGAGATGTATTATTCGAGTCCCCTAGGGCTGACTTGCATACTGCGTACAGTTACAGTGCCGCCCTTCTCCCACCTGCACAGGGGCCTGGGCGACATCCAACGCCGTCGCCTGAGCCGGAACAGTGGACCCAGCCCGCTCACCACGGACCGCCCCGGCTTGAGCCTTGACCCGCCCGAACCATCCATGTTTTTGTTTTTTTTTACCGCCCGCCGTCGCCTGTCCTGCCAGGGTCGCGCTGAACTTTAACCAAAGAGGAAAACCAAACCACAACGACTCTCGACTTGCATATCAGCTCCACGATATTTTCTGAGAGACCACGCAACCCCCCACGAACCGGTTCACCGAGTTTACGTACTTCGTACCTTGCATACCATCGCATCGCATCCCGTTGCAGAAATTCACTTCGCGCTGCATTCTTCCAGCCCCGTCGTCGTCGTCTTCAGCTGCTCCCCGTGCCGCGAACTCACTTGACACTTTGACGGACTCATCCGACGACGCTCACTCATCACTCACCTCACTCCCACGACTCTAGGCTATCAGTTATCGCCTCTGACGAACTCTTATTCCTCCCGAATACAACGCTCCCGAATTCTCAGCTCCGGAACGTCAATCTACTATCCTTCATCCCGAAGTAAGGATCGAGCCAGGCGCCTCCTCTTCTCTTCTCTTCCCACCAGGCTACAGCTCCATCATCCACCGGCCTCACATCACTGATCACATCTCATCACACACACACGGCACCCTAAACCACCTCCCGCCCCCACAATCCCGCGCTCAATTCAAACGGGTGCCTGTCACTCACTTACTCACTCGCACATTCCTTCACTCACTGAATCGCCTCCTTGAACCCCCCCCCCCCCGGCTCATCGCACATCTCCGGTCAAAAAAAAAAGAAGGCCGCGCAGCAGAGAAGCAGTAAAGACAACACCAGCCCCATCTCACACACAAGTCATGCTCCGCCGCCCCGCAACAACCCTCGCCATAACGGCAGAGGACATCGCCTCCTACGAAGACCGCCGCGCCCGCGAGGCCATCGTCCGAGAACGGCAGGTCCTCGTCCAGGCCCAGCAGCAGCAACAACACCAAGCCGCCCTCGCCGCCCAACAGCAGCAACGGATCCTTCAGCACCAGCAGGCACAGGCACAGCACCAGCAGCATCCCTTCTCGTCACCCGTACCGCAACAGCAGCAATCTTCGCCGCAGCATCCCCAGCAAAGGTACACGCAAGCTCAGATCCACCAGATGCAACAGATGCAACGCCTCCAGCAACAGCAGCAGCAGCAGCAGCAGCAGGGTCTAGACGACGATAGCATGCTCACGGCAGACGTGGACGTCGACGAGAGCTTGGAGTACGATGAGGTGCAGCAACGGGAGCTGCTTAGGCGGCAACAGGAGATGATGAGGGCGCAGAGGGGCCAGAGTGGGCGCGGCGGCGGCGGGGTGCAGACTACGCCTACGCCGGGGGATGGGGGCCGTGGGGGACGGACGAGGGAGGAGAGGATCGGTGTTGGGCGGCGTGGGAGGTGAAAGTGAGTGTCGCTCGAGAGTTGTGGTAAAGATATCGTGGGCGAGAGACTGGTGATATACTGGTTCACTGTTATTGGATAATGGAATGTTCGGCGCTTTGGGAATGCTATTTTCCCTAACGGACACGTCTTCTATGTGGTTCATCATGTTGATTTATCTGCCTTACGCCTTTGGACCTAGATTGAGGTAGAACTTGAAATCTCACGCTTGAGATACGCCTTGTACAAAGGTATGTCATCTGTAAATTTCTGAGAGATCTCAGTCTTCTGGGAGGGAACAAAAAGTTACCCCGGTATCAAACCCATACCAATCGTCGTCAAGTCGTGCCCAGTTGTCTAAGCCCAACGCTTCCCTGCCCTACTAGCCTACCTAAATCCAAAAAAAAAGAAAAAGAAAAAAAATGACAAGAAATAGAACGAAAACTATCCCACGCTTCCCGCTTGCAGCTAACGAAAATGGAACATGAAATGAGCGCTTGGTGGTATAAAAGAAACCCGTGTAAACTCACGAGACGCGAAACAAAATGACATCGGTCTTGCACAAACCAACACCGCGCGAGAGACGGAGCCTCCAGAGGCCGCCTCTCGGATGATGTACACCGTACCAAATGCACCTTTGGCCGTAACAGTCATATTTAGACACGCGAAAGAAGTTGTGTACAGTTGGAAAAGTCCCAAGGAATGGAAGAGTCGTTGACGCTGGCGCTGCAAAATATGTGAATCGAACGAAGGAAACGGAAAGTTGAAAGAGTCGCTGGTCTCGTCTCGCTGTATGAAGGAAATGACCGTTTCATCTCGTCTGTACGTGTCGTGTAGTATCAAAAGGGCATGCTAAGCAAGGTGTCCGCCCCAGAATATGAATGAACGCCAGATCTGCGGTCTCGCTCGATTTCTCGGGATGGAGATGAAATGTCGTGCATCTGTCACGTTCATTAGCAACTTCAAGGCCTCTCGAGATGACTTTTACTGCTTACGTTGTAGAAAACATTAGCCTGCCTAATTCCGGCGACTTCTGCCAAGTACTTAAGACGGCCTCTCAGAAAGCGTCTCTGTCTGGGGGTTGCAAAGTCGCTGCTGCAAGCCGTGACCATGGGCCACAAAACCATCAGTCCGGCAGCGCCCTTCAAAGGGTCGTCTGGCTTGGTGTTGCCGCAGGGGAACTGAGCTACGACCACGCCGTAGCCATTCCATTTGCAAAAGAAAGGGGTCGAAGCTATGGTATCTTCGATACGCAGCATAGCCGAACGTTTCAGCTCTTCATACTCCTCTCCCATTCGATAATCATCAGGGGACACAAGCCAGGCCATGCACCGCAGAATTGTTGTGGTAAGCATCAGATGGCAACACCATGTGGCGACGTGCAAGATTGCAAGAGGTAAGTTGAAGAACCCGTACACAGGCCCTGGAAACGTTGGGGTCGTATCGAGCTCGTCGTCGGATCGCTCCAGTATCCACTCCACCGTATCGACTTTCCACTGCGGGCTGGGATCGTTGTTGAGTTTGCGGAATTTGGCCTCCAAAGCTTGAGCACGCTTGAGAGCATCGAGCACCTTCTGGATTGTCTCTGGCTTGCGGTCTCCCGCTCCGAGAACCCGATCAACATCTTGTCGAATTTGACTGCTCTGGATATCCATGCTCGCGATGGCGTGCTGCATCCGACCACGACATTCGTGATGCAGAAGCCATGTGAATTCGGATACTTCGGGAGAGTTTGGAAGACAGTGAATAGAGAGACACTGGTTCCGGGTAATTGCGAACATTTCTTCGCCTTCCGGTGTCTCGAGCCCCTTTTGACCCCTCAATTTGACAATGATTGCGGCACCCTTCATGTGGTTGGTGTACTCAGCGATAGAGTCTCGAGAAGACGTCAAAATCTCTCACTTGTTAGCTTGAAGTTCTGTAAAATGTTCACACTAATAGACTCACCTCGTAGAAAGCCAGCATAAGCACAGCCCCCAGAGTTTGATCATTGAGCACCTCTCCCGGGTCCATTATAGCTTTGTTGACGGCCCGGACCGCCCGTAGATAGTGACCTTGTGCATGGAACAGAGCGGCACTGGCATTTACCGTACGGCGGCTGGCCAGCGCAGCCAGAGAGACAGCCTTGTAAGCTTGGGAAAGACATTTGGAGACGTTCGTCCCGCTCAGGAACCGAGGGAGGAAACGGTAGTACCCTCGGGCCGTAGGAGTAAACGGGACAATGATGAATTCCGAGAGGAAGTAGCAAGAGGCCTGCTCATCCAGCGAGTTGAACATGGACGCCGGGATGTCTTCGTCTTCGTCGGTCGTATCGTCGTCCTTGTGGTAAGGGAAAGCGGCGGGATTCGAGTAATCGAACGTCTTGTATTTCGGACCAGCAACCGTCTTCAAGCACTGCTTGTTGCAAACGGGCGCGATATCCTTGCCTTCTTCGTCAGAACTCTCTTCACCTCTAGACTTCTTGAATCTCTTGATAGTCGCTTGCGTTTCGTCGCGGATGTTGGCCTCGAACGGATCTCGGTAACCTGGACATTGCCGCCGCGACTTCTTGCATCTCATGCAGAATGGCTTCCCCTCATCACATTTGATCCTCCTGGATCTGCACAACTTGCAGCCGCCGGAGGGCTTTCCCGTATTCACCATAATCGTATTGGGCAGTGTTGGTACTGCGAAACAAATCTGTAGAACAGAGTGCAGGAGGCCGTTCCGAAGGTGAGCTGTGAGGGGTCAAGCTCTTTTTCACAAGTTTTTGGAATAAAAGCATAAAGTCCCGAGGCCGATTGTCGAGTCACAACAAGAGAAGACCACGGAGAGAGGTAGCGGGATGGAGGGGTAGAAGCTCCTATGTCATAGCGATGAACCACATATCCTTCATTGAATACGGACCTCTAAGGCTGAGCCAACATGCTGTATGCCTGCTCGGAGGAAGAACAGCGGAGGGGCTGGATCACCGATGGGACGCTCTACGAAACTCTGTGGCAGCAACTTGACGCGTTGGCAAATAGCAAGAGCTCGAAATGATCAATCAGTACCGCGCCGTTGGTGGAGGGCGATCTCGGTGGTCCTAGCATTGGGCAGCTTGTAGCCTATGCTGTCTGGTCTTTCGGAAGGTTTGTTTCATGCACCGCTAAGCCCTGACGATTCGTCGATGTTGGTGACCAAGGGTGGTCCTATCCGCTCGTGCGCACATTGTTTGAGACGGCAAACGAAATGTACCGTGAGAGGTGAACAACGGCTGGCGTCCTTGTGTCGATCATGTAGGGAAGAACCCGGCTGTTCGGCAAGCCGGTCGATGGATGGCACCTCAGACAGGTGTCAGGGACTGCGTGTGCGTATGTGCTCTGCATCGTGGTAGTGGCCTTGTAGGGCACTTTCACCGACTGCCGTGCGAAAGGTTTGCGAGACGGGCCACTCGAAAGCCGTTGGAAGTACTGTCAATCTAAAGAATCGAACGCAAATGGTTCATACCAAGAATTCGGCAAAGTCTGATCGCAATGACGCGCCGCCGTTGATACTGATTATCACTGAAAATGATGCAAGAGTTCTTGCTTTGGCATCCTAATCCTACATTCAGCTCCGGCTCCGGCTCCAGAATAAAAGCAGGTTGATTAATGGCAGAGAGGCTGTCAACATGGCAAATAGCGGATCTTCGAATTCCGCGGGGCTGAGCACGTCAATATCCAAGTAGCCCTACGCTTTGCGGACCGCTTGGGGGCTAATTAGTCCCTCGATATCAAGGAGCAGGTTCCTTCGGTCGACAGGGTTCCATTGCTGCTAATGAGTCGAATGGCAGACGTAGATCAGTGTTTGCTGAATCTGCAGTTCCAACGGCCTGGTTGTCGGGTGGCTGTCCACACACACGCGACACTTGACGGCGTGAAGCAGATTTAGCCATTCGTCATCGTGGCTGATGGGATCGTTTCATCCGATGATGGGCCTCCCAATGAGGAAATTTCGTCGTGGGTGTCGGGCTTTACAGCGTGAAGTTGAAAGTCCTGTTGAATCCAGTGATGAGAACAGGGTCGAGTTGATATCTTGAAGTCCGTAGAATGACACAGAAACCCGCCCGACATCTTGCATAGTGTTCGTTGTCCAGTCTGAGCAGTGCCGTGATATAAAGCCGACGTGTCTCGATCCACACGAGTACATCGACTTGATCTGGCGAAACCGATCACGGCGATGCCCGAAAGAGGTTAATCACAGGCTATCAAAATCAATGAGTGATTTGATACTCGTGTTGTTTGTTGTTTTTTGGATGCCTTGGGCAAATAAAGATGGATGTTGACGGAAGGTGTTTGGATGTACGTGATACCATCTTGCTTACATAAAGTGCACTAATCGAAGCGAGGATCATCCATTTGCTGCTTTCTTCCGTTGTCTTCAGTGGATCCCTACGATGATCTTAGGATCTACCAGTTCTCCACTTCCAATGTCGAGGAGGCGGCGAGCTTATTTTTGACTTCAACAAACTGTCACCGTTCGTCCGTCTCAATGGTCGGCCTTGGTCGCTGACCTGCCTCAATGGCATCCTGGGATGGTCTCACAGACTGACATGCATCAGAATACGCACTGATGCGGCAACTCTTTCAATCCCGTGTCCCGTATCCGGGGCTGTCAAACTGTTTATGCCGTTTGACATCTGTATACTATGAGTTTCTTAATCGAGGGTCCGAGAGCGGTTTTCAGCGCGCAACTTCCTTCATCAATCAAGCATAGAGAGATGCCATTGCTAATCCGATCCAGTTGAATGGCAAACGATCGAAGCGCTGAGTGGTATGGGCCCGATGTGCACGAAAGCACAATAGGAATTGTCTAGGTACATGAGCCCCATGTGAGTGCGATTGAGACCCGTGAGTCCAGACAGCTGCGGTCTGAACGTCCACACATCAACGGTACCCCGACGCCAAGGCACCTATCAAATTCGTTCCGAGGAACTCGCACCTGAACAATCCGCCTGCGGGGTTCAAGGTCTTGCGGGCCCAAGCCCTTCTTTCGGCTGTCGTCGTCAATCTGTCAGGGTTGTGGAGGCTTACGAGGATGTGCAAGGTTCCCGGGACTGCCTGAGCTTAGGGATACATGGCGGCCTTCTCCGGCTTTCCACGTTACGGCATCCTGTTGAACGAGACTTTCGGCGCATGTTTTCCATTGAGAAATCATGTCGATGGAAGAAAAGCAAGCATTTCGGTTCAGAACTGCACACTTTCGTCGCCTAGTCAAACTTCGTCACAGGGAGCGCAGAGTGAGCTCACTCTGCGCGGGGATTCCTGCTCCTGAAAGCCGATATATGGGAGGGTGAGCAGACCTTTCTCGAGTCAAACTTCGGTACTTGCCTAGTGGACTTGACTTGCCAGAATGCCGCCGGGATGCGCGGAGAACTTCGCCCACCGGTTAACTTTCTCTCTGACAAGTTTGACAGTTAGTTTTGCCCACCGATGCCTTCGTGGCTCTCGGCAAATTTGCCTTTGATTATACTTTCCATAAATCGGACGATCCCGCTAAAATCTAACCAACGAGGCGGCCCAGCGTAAGATCTGGGGAAACATGCCAGTTCATCGAGAAATCAATTGCGGCAGTGAGGCTAGCGATCTGTCACCTCTTTCGAATGAACAGCATTCGCCTGCTTAGCACCATGAAGTTATACTATCGCCTTCGCCATTACCCTGCTTACATTCGAGGGACGTTACTCATTAGACCCGAAGGCTCTCAGGAACGCCCAGCCAGTCAGGCCACGCCGTTCGGACGTTGGGCAAAATTCACAGCGGGCGCTCATTATCCCGGTCTTTCGGCTAAGCGGCTGTCTGTATGTCTAGCTGGCAGGGTGATCCCATTCACTTTCCGGACAAGCGAGCCTTGACGTCGCTCCGGAAGCGACCTTTCGAGACCTCCTGTCATTTCTGAAGCTTCGAGAACTGCTGTCACGGTGTGACTTGAGCAAGAATAACATCTGCCATTCAGTCACTTCATCTGACACCGTCTACGACCTGAGAAGATTACCATTGCATCCGGTGAATTATCCATGTCCCTGAAAAGCCCGAGCTGGGCACCTTGATACAAACCCCGATTTCTGATCTGGCAGACCAATCACCTTTGGTGGTCGTACCGCCTCGGAGATAGCCGGCCACAAGCCGGGCGTGTAACCAAGATCCCTTGGAGCCGCCTGGGCGCAGAAGATCAGGAGATAAATCAGCACCGCCCGAGCTCCCCTTCGCCCAAAACACCGACGTGACCAAATTGTAAGATGCTGAGGGCAAGAGTCGGGTGAATCCGGATACGGGAACGATTAAGCAAGCCCGACTTACTAAAGAGAGGGACTGGCAGAATGCTATCCCAGATGCTGCTCAGGGTGTTTGGAGGAGTGAAATGGCATCACTCACAGTGACGCAAGCCGCGAATTGTTCGCAGATCTTGTCCTGCCCGCAAAGGGTTCCTATCCTATCCCCTAACTATCATCTGGCATCTTCTCTCCTGTTCGCAATCGTTTACTAAGGTGTGCGTAGGGGGAATTAACCGCATCATGACTTTAAGGTGCTGGCCAGTGCATCAAATCCTTCGGCCGGGTTAGGCCCCACAGCGCCCCGAACGTTATGCCGGTCAGCCTCCCGCTCCCTTCGGCATAATATTTCGGCCGACTCACCTGCTATAACATATACGAACGAACGAAACTTGCGCAAACAACACCACACCCGTTTCTAAGCCGGTGCTTAATCCGGTCGTACAGACCCAGCCGGACTACTCTCGTGCCTTGCAATTTTGCAGACTTGGCTCCTCGGCGGCGGAGAAATAATGACTTGCTCGGACTTTGCGTGAATGGTGAATCAGTACAGACGTAATGATAGGCCGGCCGGCTCGCACTCGGTCGTCCATGATGCCATTCACGGCGCCCTACCAACGTGGCCTCGACGGTGATTGAGCCGCACCGGCGTAAGGCTTCCCAACGGAGCGGGCCTGTTGGGTGGAATTTCACTTGTGACCAACCTAGCCTTGGCTTGAGCACATTGAATGTCATATAAGGCTATGGATAAAGCCCTTCACTGATTAAAAGTATCCTTAAAAGAGGACTCATCTTATTATCACAGTCCAGTAAGAAAATATACTGGCTAAACACAAGTTAGATCCAGTTTTGACCCCTTTTGACCTCCTATCTCGAACACAACCACACTTCTCCGAATGTCTACAACACAAACAGAAACACCAGCAGTGGTGCTGGAGAAACAAACAACCCAAATCGACCAACATGGCAAAGTCGTCTTCAAACCCTCACGGGAATTCCTTCTCGCCTTCAGCGCCCTCTGCGCCATCGCCTTGGCCGTCGCCTTTGACGCAACAACCCTCTCCGTCGCCCTCCCAACGATGAGCGTCGCCCTTGGCGGAACCGCCCTAGAGGCCTTTTGGTCCGGCACGAGCTTCCTCCTCGCGAGCACGGTACTACAGCCCACCGTCGCCGGGCTCAGCAGCATCTTTGGGCGCAAGGCCCTCGTGTACGTCTCGGCCCTGCTCTTCGCCGCGGGCTCCATCGTCGGCGCCCTCGCCAATAACTTCCACGTCGTCATCGCGGGGCGGACTATCCAGGGCGTGGGCGGCGGTGGGATCCTCGCCCTCACGGAGGTCATCATCACGGACCTCGTCCCGCTCGCGGTGCGTGGCCAGTGGTTTTCGCTCCTGTCGGCCGTTTGGTCGGTCGGTACGGTCACGGGGCCCCTGATCGGCGCCGGATTCGCGCAGAATATCTCGTGGAGGTGGATCTTTTGGATAAATCTTCCCATCATCGCCATCGGGGCGGTCATGATCTTCTTCTTCCTAAAGCAGGCCAAGGTACCCGGCCACATTGGGACCAAACTCATGAAGTTCGACTGGCTCGGAAGCTTCTTGTTCACGGCGGGCTCGACGAGTTTTCTGTTTGGCATCTCGACTGGTGGTGTCATGTATGAGTGGGCCTCCTTCAGGTGTGTGTTGCCAATGATTCTGGGTGTTTTCATTCTTGTGGCCTTTGGTTTCTGGGAGCTCAAGTTTGCGCCGGTGCCCATGATCGACAAGGGCATCTTCAACAATTGGACCATGGTCGCCAACTACATCATGACTGTTTTCCATGGCATGATTCTCTGGTCGATTCTCTACTTCCTTGGTAAGCCATCCCTCCCTCCCCTATCTCTACCCTTTTCATAGGACGCCCATAAGCTCACTCTTCTTCGCAGTCCTCTACTACCAAGCCGTCAAGGACTACTCCGTCGTCGTCTCCGCCGTCGCCGCCCTCCCAGAAAGCCTCACAGTCGCACCCTCCGCCATGGCTGTAGGACTCATCGCCGGCGTCACGGGCCGGTACCGCTGGTCCCTCTGGGCCGGCTGGGTCATGATCACCTTTGGCGCCGGCCTCATGTGCCTCATGCGGCCCGACACCTCCGTCCCCGCCTGGATCTGGCTCAACATCCCCATCGGCCTCGGCACGGGCATGCTCTTCCCCGCCATGGCGCTCTCCATCCAGGCCGCCTGCGAGCCCGCCCTCAACGGGCAAGCCGCCGCCTTTTACTCGTTCCTGCGCACGTTTGGGCAATCCGTTGGCGTCGCCGTCTCGGGCGTCATTTTCCAGAATGCGTTTCGCAACAGGTTGCTCGATATCCCTTCCCTGGCGGACGTTGCGGAGGAGTACTCGCGCGATGCGACCATTGTGGTTGAGGTGATCAAGAGGATGCCCAAAGGCGATGCCATGCGGGCGGATCTAGTGGAGGCGTATTGCGATGCGCTGCGGGCGATTTGGATTAGCTTGATTGCGTTTGGCGGTTTCTGCATGCTCATCAGCGTGACGGTCAAGAAGTACAGCTTGGAACAGGAGCATGTCACAGACCAGAGATTGGTCACGAGCGACGATACGAGTAAGGAGGACGAGGAGAGCCAGGGAGGGGATTTGGAAAGGGGGCAGAAGGTGAGATCTTGAATGAGTTGATTCTCGAGCCGCAAGAGGTGCGAGAAAATTCTCTAAACGGGTTCTATCAGCTTCAGAGCTGGACATCACCTCTCCTTTCACTTACATATCCTCCATGAGGATTAAACATTAGATGTCACAAGGGGCTGAGTCTTGAATATCGGAATTCTACGGATTTGGGTATGGCCTTGATATCTCTAGAGAGGGCATGTTTCAGATCTTTCTTATAATTCTCTTACTTAATAACTAATGATAGAGTTAGCAGAAGCATTCTGCCCAATCTCGTCCCACAATACTGCCTACTGAGTCTTAGAGCGCTGCCTTGAACACAATGAACCCGCGTCCCTCGATCGTGAGAAGCCTCTCAGGCGCAAAAGGAGGGCCAGTTTCCAATTTTGTGCCCTACTCCTCCTCTCACCAGTCGTACCTCTCGAATTTCTTCTCCTTTCACTATGGCCTTTGACCACCCTCCTCTTCACCTTCAGAAAAAGGCAAGTGGTGATTCAAACACTAACTTGAAGGTGAACCAGTTGCTTCGAGGCTCAAAAAAACAACAAAGTGTGATTCACTGTCGCCATTCTTTCACCTTATTCTTGACCAGCCAGTCTTTTCCGAATCCAAGGTCAGTCGGTTCCAGGCGTGGAAAGACGTATTATTTCCAAAAAAAAAAGGAAGTAGCTCACAACTTCTAGATTTTGCCAGCCTTCACCTCGACCTTTGCTCACGATAGCTTCACCTTGTTCACCTTGTGCACTTTGTTCACTTCAGCGAAACACTTTGCCTCGCCACGAAACATTCTGTAAAAGAAATTACAGAACCAGCATACGAAACCACGCTGTCAAAGCAAAGAAAAACAAAAAGGCTGTTTCGATTCACCGAACAGAATCCCTCGCCCCTTGACCAAAGGTACTGCAGCATACGTACATATACCAATATCCCAAGATGTGTCGCCGCGTCTACAAATACTACACAGCCTGCGGCTGCGTCCTCAACGCCCTCTTCTACCACAAGTGCGCCTATGGCTCGGCCTCGCCCCTTTGCAAGGAGGAAGACGGCATCGTCACCCACGACGGCGAGACCTGCCCCTACCACACCTGCGTCGCTCGCCGCCAAGCCCGCAGCCGCCGCCGAGCCAACGGAGGAGGAAGAACGCAAGACTCGGAGAATATCCGCGCGTCCGTCGAGAATCCCTTTACCTTCACCGGCGCAGGCAAGGAGATCACCCCCACGAAGCTCGAGGACCGTCACAAGCTGGGCGACTTCCAAGTCTTCATCAAGGACATCGACACCTTTCTGAAGAAGCTGTCGGAGCGTGATAATGGTATTCGGACCAAGACCCAGATCGAGGCCCAGGCAGAGTCACAAATTGTGCGAAAGTCGAACAAGCGAGAGGGAAAAAACAACCAGCTCAAGGACAGGAAAGTAAGCCGCGAGCTCTCCCCCCTCGCCGGCTGCTCAGACTGGACCGACGACGACGAAAACGATAACGCAATTGCCCGGCGCAAGATACGCGACCGTCTTAAGAAGGAGTTTCGCGCCCTCGTCCGCGAAAATGAGAGAAACAAGGAGCTCTTTGACGCGAGTGATGTCTTCATGAGCTCTGGCTGTGGCGATGACGAAGACGCCTCCGACAGCAGCAGCAGCGAGTCGGACCCGGGTGATGCGTATCCTTCGCCCATGAGCATGAGCCCGCACCCTGGCAACTACGGTGACGTCTCTGAGAGCAACGAGTCGCCTGATCAGGGTGATGTTCACTCCTCGTCTTCGAGCCTGAGCCCCGACCATGGAGATGGCAGTGTCGTCCCCGAGAGTAGCGGCGATTCGGACCACGGCAACATGCAGTCTTCGATCCCAGGCCCGGCTCATCGCAGCGACCCCCTTCCGGCGTTTCTCTCATGGGACACGTCTCCCGAGCACTCTGAGGACATGGAAGAGAATGAAGAGATTGATGAGGATGGAGATGAACCTGACTACGACAGCCACGACGCGGATATGCCCGACGCCGATGAGGACAATGGAGACTACGTCCCGGAACCTACCTGGCCTCCCACTGGGGTTGAGTGGACCTCTAAGCTCAAGTACATGACTGGGATCTCCCGCCGCGACTACTGGTGATTGGATTGAGAGGTATCTGATTCGAAGATTGTTCATTGACGGAAGAAACTGAAGATGTTTGGAGACGAAGAGAGTGATGATCAAATGATGGCATTGGGATGGCAGTGGCCATAACGCCAGAATGACTGGGCGTCTTGTATGTGTACCTTAAGCTGTCACCTGTATTGATCAACAAGAAAAATGTCACAAATCGCGAGGCGGTATAGTGATATCATGTCTCATTGCCCTTTGTGCACTCTTCCAGTACAGGAGCCAGGTGTACATACGTGGAAGTGAAAATGCCGTTATGCCCCAGCTAGATTACCCATCCAAAATCCAAAACTCTCCAAATCGCTCAAAATAACCCGCTAAACCTAGGACGCTACATGTAGGGATTAGTTCCGAATCGGCGGAGCTGGGTATTGTCGTCCCCCAACGCCAGAGATGACCGGGCTTCCCCCGCGCTCTCTCCACCGCTTTCTATCTCTATCATCTCTCAGTTCCCGATCGCGGGGGTCCCGAGGATCCCATGGGGGCTCAGGCCTCCCTCGCATACGGTCCACGTCCGCATGGCTACTCGTCCGGCGCGTCGCTTCAGGCCGCACGACCGGTCGTTCCCTTCGCTTACGAGCCTCCATATCTTCTTCTCTCTCCCAGTTCACGACACGATCACGGTCACGCTCGCGTTCTGGGTCCCTGTCACGGTCTCTCTCTCTTTCTCTTTCACGTCTACGGTCTCGGTCTCGACCGCGATCTCTCTCTCTGGCTCTTTCCCTCTCTCGTTGCTCTCTTTCCTCCAGTTCCCTACGTTCTCGGGCTTTAAATCGGCGGCGGCGCTCTTCTTCCGAGTCTGAAGCCTCTGAGTCCTCCGATGCGATATCAGGCCAACTGCGGTTAAGTCTAGAAGAAGGCAAGTGCTCTCGGCTTCGGCGAGATGGCGGATCGCTTCGACGACCGGAGGTGCTTCGATGCCTTTCTGGTGATCGACCAGTGGGAAGAATGGACGCCACTTTCTCGCTGATCTTCTCCCTGATGCCATCTACGACTGGTATGCTACGACGCCTTGCATCTTCCGGTCTTAGTTCTGCACGATGTACACGAGTGACAGGTGGCGGCTGGGGTACCGAGGGAGCACCCATGCGTCGGAAACCGGGTGGTGGCGGCTCGTTTGAATGATGTGTATGAGGCCGACGTTTAGATCGCGGGCTCGCCGCGTCCTCGGAATCAGACGTTGAGGACGAAGAATAGTGTCGAGGCTGGCTGTGTCGGCGGGGTTGCATGGGCGGTCGGTTAGGATGCAAGTGCTCGGCGTTGGCGTGCGGATCTTGTGGAGGGGATGGGTAGTCAGAAAAGCTTCGGCGTCGACGGTCGTCAGGAGAGTTTTGTCCTCGGAATCGATCTTGGTCTGGGGTCCTCTGGGGAATATTGAGTCGAGAAGGGGGGTAGCGATTCGCGGCGTGACCCCCAGGCACATGACTGTAAGCAACCGGTGGCCGGCCAGGCGGTACAAAGTAATCTGCCTGAGGACCACGAGGCGGAGGCGATGGCTTCGGTGATCCCTTGGAGGGGTAGGGATTTCGGACGTGCACGTATGCTGCCTTCACTCTCGGCTCGTCTCTTTCTGCTGAGCGAGCAGGGGCAGTCTTTGGTGATGCCGGCTCCTCGTCTGGCACTGCCGCCTTCCTCAGTTTTTCAGCGCACTTTTTGTGCCATTTCTCGATTCCAGCGTCTGGCTCGCTGGGCAGAGCATCTGCGGGTAGATCTGGGGGAAAAGGCTCGCCCGTCTCAGGATGCTTCAGGTTCCAGCTCTTGACAGCCTGCTGGATGAAAGGTACATGTTCCTCGGGGCTCAGCAGTATCTCGATCGACTCCCATCGAACGAAGCCACGAAGGGTCAAGGCTGGGACGGAAGGGGCGTCGAAATCGTTGTCGGAGGGCTGCATGGAGTGCTGGCAGCCGGTTACCTGCCAAATGTAGGATATGGCGGGAAATGGCATATCGACAAATAGGGCTATGGCGACGAGCCGTCAGCATGGGATACATTGCAGGCGGGGTGAGGATTTAGGCTTACAGTCATAGTTACCACCAACGGCCTTATAAAAGGCGGCCAGCTTTTGAGGGGTCAAGGCTTGAACATGTCTATCGCCAATATCGCGAATCTATAGATAGGCGGGGTTCGGTTAGTATTTGGCCATGGGTGTGTGGAAGCGGGGTGGAGGAAGCCAGGGTTTGTCGTGGACGTACAATGTGTAAAGCGATGGCGCGGAGGAGAGCATCGAGAATCGGTGTCGGAGCCTTGTCTGGGCCGAACAGATAGCCGTAAGGGGAGGATGGCTTTGGATCGGGGTTCTGCGACTGTGTCTGGGCCTGCGGTTGAGGTTGCGGTTGCGGTTGAGGGTGAGGGTGAGGATGAGCAGAGGACTCTTTGGAGTCGGCCTCTGCGGTCGCCGTCGCCATTCGGGGCCGAAGTCTACATCAACGGTGCGTTTTTGTGGGCAGGAATGTCCCGGGACAAAAGTGTGGAGATTGGACGGGATGGAGTAATATAACGGTTTTGGTGGCGTGTGCTGCTGACAAGCAAAGGGCTTTAGCTTCGCAGGCAGTGGCTGGAGAGAGAGATGGAGAGAGAGAGATGGCGTTTGGATTATGAACGACTTGGAGCGCAAGTTATCGTCCGGTTCGGTTGATGTTGAAAGGCTCGGGAAGAGTTCAAGGTGCTAGCGTGGGACTGGGAGCGTGGGCGAGGTTGAGTTGAGGGTTCAACGGCTACTAATAACTCAAGGTACTTTGGGTGCGGGCCGCCGCCACAGCATCGTCATACGAGAGAGACAGAGAGATGCGAGGCAGAAGTAGGCTGAAGCCAAGCCGTGAGTCAAGGCCGGATGGATACGTGCGGATGCAAGTCGAGGCTGGTAGGCGCAGGATGAGGACTCGGTCAATATGCGCGCCAGAGGAGCAAGAGGGTGCGCGCGAGTGCAGCCGGTGGCAGGAGAGAAATATCCGGGTCGAGGACTACCGTAGTGGGTGTGAAGCGTGGACAGAGGGGATGGATGTGTGTAAGAAACACAGTCCAAGGTCGAGCGAAAGTCGAAAGCGACGACGGGAGTGTGCGGTGCAGCTGGTTGATGGAGGATTGGGCGGGCAGCGAGCTGATGATGTAACTAAAGTACTCGGACTGCAACTTGAGGTGGCTAGGGTACTTGGGCCTTGTTGTTGCTGGGGGGGGGTTGGAGGGGTCAAAGACGCGGGCACGCACGATGGGACGGATGGGCATTTTTGGGGGGTTCAAGGTCGCCGCCGCTCTGGGGCTTTAGATACATTGTTTTTGTGGTGAGATGGACGGGGAACCGGGGGGAAGGCAGGAAGTGGACTCGAGGGAGGAAGGACATACCTTACCTTGCCTTCCCTCGGAGTCTTGGACATGAACTTCCCATCGCGTCAGGCAGAACCGAGCTGCGGGAAGCAATGGAATCGCCTGGTCGTTCTTACCTTACACAACTGGGCTCTTTCACAGCTTCTGGTCAATACCTTACCTTATTGCCTACGGAGTACTGTGGTACATGCAGCAGCGCTGCGCAAGACAGGGAAGAACAAGGCAGGCAAGGCAGTGGCAGGTAAGAATAGCGATCAAACAGGGAAAACGTTTGGCTGTTGGGCTGACACGTGCACCCTGGCGCAGCTTCCCTTGCGGGGACAAATTTGGGCCGGACCGTCGGTTGCCTTTCGAGAGATACATGCCTTTCCTGCGTGGTTGGGCTGTGTCTGAAAGTATCTTTCCCTCACTCCCGACCTCCACGCATCCAGTCTCCAACCGTTGGGTACGTACCGCCTTAGGGTGCCCTCCTGTTGCTTCCATTTCTCGCGATGTACCTTTACTCTTTCTCCCATGGCAATCTCACCTCTTCACGACCGCTAATTGGGAACATCATCGCTCCACCCCCTCTGACTTGTATAGGCACACATTCCTAACGAGCTACCTTACCTCACACACACACTCTTTCTCTCTCTCTTTCTCTCTCACCAGTCACCACCACCATCCCACAGCATCTCGATGCTTCCGTACTCGGCTTGTCTGACCTTGATCTTCTGTCGTCCGTTTGGATTCAACTCCCGAGGTTACGCCTAATATCTCCAACATCGCGTCCCGACTCCCCACCAGCTGATCAACATGATTTGGCATCCATGCTCCGTACATTACCCTCCAGCAGGCTCCAGAAGATAAGGCAAAGTGAGGCTGGGCAGCAAAACGGACCCGACTATCCAGATGATCCAGATGACCAAAGAGGCCCGTCGAAAGCGATGGATGCGGATGCCCAGTTCCCTCGGCCCCTAGGATGCAGCCTGAAAGTCTGCCCAGGTGAGCCGTCTGCTGGACACGCCCAGCTGCGATGTGCCTTGTTGCGGAGGCTGGTGCCCGCTCAGCCGCCAGCCGGCCCTAGCCACGCAACCCTCTATTCCAGAGGCAACCCGTCCAAGCCGACAGGTTGTCCCATCTGGTCTTGACCTACATCTTCCTACGCAAAACAAGAGAGTTAAAGGCCAAAGGGAACCGGCAGGCGCTGAAGAGGAAGTGTCCAGCCACACGCCGTTGAGCTGCTCGAATTCTGCTCCATCTCATGTCTTTCCCCGGCCCTCCACCACACGACTTCTAGGAAGCTACTTTTCCTAGACTCACTAACCTCCAAGTCAGCGTCACCATGTCCACCTACGCCGTGGCCAATTTGCTTCCCCGGCAGGCTGGAACCCGGCGAGCGCATTTGCAAAACACCAAAGATCCGGTTCGATAATCCACCCAATCTTTTCGTTACTCCCGCCCCATCTTGCAGACTTCCAGAAACACTGCTAGCAACCGGAAAGTGATCCGCGGCGGCGCGTCGCACATCCTTACGAATACATGGCATAGTGTCTTTACCCTGGCTTACCTTGGTGACTCTGCGTGTCCATCTAATTCTAATTGTTCCAGCAGCCATGTATGATGCAGTTGCAGCCAAGGTTTTGGGACACAGTGATCTGGCGGTGAGCACAAGGGTAAAGGTTACGAACAAGGCTTGCAGGGACCTGCTATTGTACATTGCGTCGACCAAGGGCCATTTCTACCACTTCCTGACACTGCAGCAACCAACGAGAATGTGATGGCCACCTGCTGTTGCACTGGTCGCCAACCATCTGCCTGGCCGGTACACCTCGAGCACTATCTTTATCTTACATGAATCTGTCGCCGTTCCGTCGCCTCGGTTCCCTGTCTATACAGAACCGATCGACATGTCTTGGATAGAATCAAACCCTTTCACGCCCATTGGAAAGCGGTATACCACAACCCGATAGCGGCGCCCGCAAGAGAAATGATGCTTCTTACGGCGTTGAGGGCCTGCCACCTCTTTAACAACTGCGTGGTCTCGGACAGACCCAGCGTTGCGGTGCCTCGTGCACCGGCCATGAGCGCATTGTTCGTTGACGACATGAAGATGATGGTATAGGGCACGATGGCAAGACTCAAAGCTCCAGCGGCAACAAACGGCTTCCACGCAACACCCTGGTCGTAGCGATCATATGCAGAGTAGGCCAGCGAGAGCGTAATGGCGAGCGCTACTTTTGGGCCGGTCGACGCGCCGTTCAAAAATATGTGTTGCCACAGCTTCAGTGCATGACCTGGCTCGGCGCTGGTTTGGAGAATGGCGGGGATGCTGAACATGGACAACGATGCCGCCGCGCCTGGACTAAAAGTCAACAATTGACGTCGACCACGCTGATGATGGCACAAAGAGAGAGAGCACGCGATTGAAAGAGAAGAAGAGCTCGCTTACCTGCCCACCATGCGCACCCGAGGATGCCAGTAGCAGTGGCAATGGTGTTGGCCATTCCGAGTTGCGACATGTTGGATTCGGTGGTCCTTTCTTGGGTAGTAGTTGGTGTGGTAGGGATGACGAAGGGGACTGTGTTGCGATGGCAATGCTTGAGATCGGGTGGGCTCAAATGAGGCAGTGCGTAATCTCGTCTGTAGAGTTTCTCTCTATGGTTCTATTCTATGATGAGGTGCATTTGACTTCCTGGCGTCATCTGTTCTAATATATATCAAAGAAGGAATCCGGGAAACATCGGCGGTGCTAGCCCCCGATGAGATCGGAGGAATCACGGACGACACAAATTGTCCGAAGCTATGTTCTCCACCCCGAGTCTCGCGTGTCCGATGCCGTCCCTAATACGACCTCCGCGCCGTACTGGCTGGCCCCATCATTACGGCAGCTCTCAAATCATTCGAGAGTTAGAAAACCCAGGTGTACCCCATGTTATAGTGGTGCTGAGCCTCCCAAAAAAAAAAATTCTTGGCCAACTTAAACAAGGTAGACCAACAAGGTTTTGCGGCAACGCATCTAGAGCTGAACGCCGCAAAGAGCCCCAGGGATGGGCGGTTTAATCGAACGACGCATGGTCAGTGTGAATTTCCTTCCTCTCCCACATTTCCCTCTGTCATCTTCAGTGTTCCGTTCCGATTATTATATTGTAGTTGGGTTTTTTCCTATTTTGGCGCCTCGATACCATAGCCGACAAGCGTCGTCGTCTCCTGCGTCTTTTCATCGACTTCTGCCCAGACCTTGAGCTTTCGGAAGCCCGTCTTATCCAAGACTTTTTGGCTGGGCAAGTTGTCCAGCTCCGTCACGGCGGTGAGAACCTCCCCCACCACCTCGTACTCGGACCTGGGTTGCTCCTCCGCGCCCTGGAACGGCCGGGTCACCTCCCCGATGACGCTCTTCTCAACCCGGAGCGCAGGCGCAGCGGAGCGGGGCAGGGACCACCACGCGCCGACGAAGCCCCGCAGGAACTCGGTGGCGTACCCTTTGCCCCAGGCCTCTTTGCAGAAGAGGTATCCGATCTCGGGCCAGCCCAGCTCGCCGCCGGGTAGGCCGGGGCTGCTGGGGCCGATACGCTTGACGCCGCCGAGGCCGACGAATTCACCCGTCGAGCGGAGGCAGATGGTAAAGTTGTAATTGTGCGCGTCGTTGGGCGGGAGGTTGTGGTCCAGCCAGGCCTGCGTCTCGTCGAGGTCGGCGTCGGGGCGGCCGGCGACGGCCCACCTCATGACCTCGGGCTGTGAGCGCATGGCGTGCAGGGCGGGCAGGTCGTCTTGGCTGACGGGCTTGAGGATGAGACGCTCGGTGAGGACGGGCTTGCGCGTGGCGAGAGGGGGGAGGGGGAGGGTTGGGAGGGTGGTGTTCACCGTGATGAAGTCTAGGTGTTCATTATTCATTTCGGGCATGCTTTCTTGTTGTTTCCCCTGTTTCCTTTCGTTGAATGTTTCTTCAATTTTTGTTGTTAGGCTTAGCAAAGAGCCAACATTGTGTTTGTTTTGTTACCTCTTTGCATGATTTTTATTTCATTTTTTCATCTGTAACATTGTCACGGGGGATTTCTGGGTTTGAGTCATCTCAACGGGCCCCAAGTTCGATGACTGTTCATGCTGAAAGTGAGGGAGGGTCCCCCCAGAGTATAGTACGCAAGCGCACTATTTCTCTTTCAGTATCGTCGATTTGGCTTACGAATACCTACGACCGAAAGTACGACAGTAAATACGACGAGGCCGGGAGACGGATAGTTCCGCAATTTTATCAGGCTCGCACTCGGCGGTCTTCCGAGCGCCGCGCCGCGCCGATGTTGACAGTCCAGGTCTTTGTTCATCTCTTGGACAGACTTGGCACTTCCATCGGGTAGAATGCAAGAAACCCAAACTGTAGTCACGGTCCACGATCTCAAGATAGAAGTTTGTGCTCAAATTGCTCCCTAATCGCGGCAAGATACCGGGCGGTAAACTCTATCCTTACCAAGGTAGACCTCCATCTCTGGCGAGACCGAGCAAGTCCCGACTACGGATGTACGTACGATCCTACGAGTACACAAGTGCTGACATATCAGTCAATCTACGTAAATCTATCCGTCCAAATAGTTGGCACCTATTAGTCTTGTTTTTTAAGGTTTTTTCTTACGCCTGCTGCAGCGGGGTGGTAAGGTAGTTTCGGGCAACCCCTGGGAAATTTTGCATCTGAACGCAGATCGGGGCCTGGGGGGGAACAGTGCAGTGGGGAACCACACAGGCGACAGCCCAAATCCTCATAGGTATATTCCTCCCTCCGCGCTTCTACCTAAGGTATCTGGGTCTCACTCACAGCTCGTCCTTTTTGACTCACAACGAAGAACACCATCATCATCAAGCGAAACCCCATGAATCCTGGAAACCGATTCGCGAAACAACTACTCTTATAAATCATCACCTCTTCTTTACAACCCTTCCCCGGCCTTTTCAATCTGGATGGAAACCTAAATTAATACTCCGTAGACGGCGGACGCACGTCAGCCCGGGCTTAGGAGTTACAAGGACGTCGATCGCCCGTTCGCTCTTAACTTACAAGGAATGCAAACGCGAGAGGCCTAGCGGGGAAACCCTCAAAATCGTCAACGTCAGCAAAGGCCAACCACACACCTCACTCACACACCCTGAGCTTCACTTGAGCTTCACTCACTTCAGGGTCGCTCACACACCCCCTTCACTCATACTCACCCACACCACCTTGAACTCATAATAAAATAAACAACATCGCTAGACAATGACACCGCCGGCGTCATCGGCGACCGCAGCCCGACAACAATCAGACCAGAACACCGCCGCCCCTGGCAACAGCGGCACCAGTAAACAACAGCTCAGCTGCGCAAACTGCCGCCATCGCAAGATCAAATGCGATAAGCTACAGCCCCGGTGCAAGCAGTGCGAGCGCTCCGATCTCGACTGCGTCTTCCCCTCCCGGAAGCGGAACCGCAAGCCACGCCAGGGGAGGCAGAATGAGCTGCTGAATCGCATCACACGTCTGGAGAGCATCGTCAGCAAAGTCGACTCTGGTAACGTAGATGGAGTTGTAAGGGGCAGCGGTATCGGGGCCTCAACCGGCTCGGCGGGAGGAGGAGGAGGAGGAGTGCCCACTACGGCCTTGCTCGCAGCTGCCGCCTCATCGACGCCGCATTCCATTTCGGCGACGACTGGCCGAAGGGGTGTTGGTGTCGATCCCGTCTCGGGCATGAATGACGCGGAGCCGTCGCCGCCCGGCGCGGGGTGGGACCCCCAGCCTGCCCCGCCGACCAACTACATGAGCGCCGAGTTCTGGGATAACCTGTGCCAAGAGGTCGAGGGTATGAGACAGGCCCTTGACCAGCCATCCGACAGCGAAGGGTCCGACGATGAGGAAGGAGGAGGCCAAGGCAAGCAGGGCCAGCAGCAGCATCAGCACAGCACGACGAGCCCCGAGTCATCCACCGCCAATAAGGGCCAGACGCCGCCCGCGCTGTCCGGGCTTATATCCAGCTTCGTCACCGGCGGGGACGAGCCGCTGAGGCACCCGCCGCGGGATCACATCATGTACATGTGCGGCATCTTCTTCTCCAACGTCGATCCGGCGTTCAAGGTCATTCACCGGCCGACGGTCTCTGTCGAGCTGGAAGGGTTCGCGAACGCTGTGAATAAGCACATTGACGATGCGACCGAGGCTTTGTTCTTTTCCATGTACTACGGCGCCGTCACCAGCTTGACGAACGAGGCTTGTCTGAGGAACTTGGGAGAGGAGAGGAGCGTGCTTGCGCAGAGGTATCGGGAGGGCGTTGAGAGGGCGCTGCATAAGGCAGACTATCTCAACAGCACTGAGATTCGAACCCTTCAAGCGCTGACGTACTACGTGGTGAGTCTTTCTCTTTCCAGTTTCACTCACTTATCACCAATCAAGTTTCAGTATCTAATCATCTCACAGTGCTTCCTCCGCTCACACAACGCCAGCCGCGCCTCATGGGCCCTCATCCCCCTTGTCGTCCGCCTCGCCCAGGCCCTCCACCTCCACCGCGACGGCGTCAACCCCCCTCTCCCACCTTTCGAGGCCGAGATGCGCCGCCGGCTGTGGTGGATGATTGTCGTCCTCGACATCCGCGCCGCCGAGGACCGCGGCACCGACGCCGCCATCCCGCGACAGTCTTACAACACCCGCCTCCCCTTCAACCTCGACGACGACGACTTCGGCCCTGCGACGACGGACCTGCTCGAGGACAGGACGGGCCCGACGGAGATGACGTTTTGCCTGTGCACGAGCATGTCGTCGGGCATCTTTGGCAACCTGCGGCCGCGGCACCCGCAGCTCGCGCTCGACAACGACGGCACGCCGGAGCCGACGACGTCGGAGGACGAAATCATGGCGCACGCGCAGCGTCTGGAAGCGCTCTTTGGCACCGCACCACCGAAAACCCCTGCGTCGGATGGTGATGGCTCTGGTGGCGGAGGCGGCGGCGACGACGAAGATCAGGATACGCGGCACCTACCCGCCAACCATGCCGCCGTAACGGTACGCATCATCATCCTCAAAATGTGGCTGTCGGCGCAGTACCCCTTTACACCCCGTGCCTCCACGGCGACGGCGAAGCCTCGCGTCGCGCGGGAGACGATGCTCCGCACGGCGGTGAACACGATAGAGCTGGTCGAGTACAGCTCGGCGACGTACCGCGAGCGGTTCGGGTGGTGGATCGACAGCTACGTGCAGTGGCACCCGCTCGCCGTCGCGCTGGCGGAGCTGTGTGTGCAGACGCGCGGGGAGCTGGTGGAGAGGGCGTGGCGGGTGGTGGACCGGAACTTCCACGGGATGAGGGAGCGGATCGCGGACACGAGGCGGGGCACGCTGTGGAGGCCGTTGAAGAAGCTCTTGAGACGGGCCAGGGCTGCGAGGGCGGAGGCTATGATGGGGGCGTTGAAGTTGGGTGATAGCGGTAAGGGGGCCCCTGTGATTGCGGCGACGGCGACGGCGGCGGCGGAGCAGAAGGGGGCTGGGAGGAGGACGGTGGAGGTGCCGCAGCATGAGGAAGAGGAGGAGGAGGATGATGATGACGATGAGGATGGGGATGGAGGCGTGGATGGGAATGGAGACGTGGATGTCACGGATGTCCAGGAGTCATCAGCTGCGGCGGCGGCGGTGGGAGGTCACGGTGTGAGTATGGGAACATTACACCCGGCATTCAGAACAGACCGCATGGGCGGTAACACCGCCAACGCCTCTGCCGCTGCTGCTTGGCAAGGAGGCGGCTCCACGCTGCCTTCCACGAGTATGCCCTTCGCGACCACAAATACTGTTGGTCTGGATGGCCCCACGCCGATGGCGGTCGACCCGTCGATAGCGGCGGCGGCCGGGATGCCCGTGACATCACTGCCTCCGTCAACCTCAGCATCTATGAACCCGCCGTTCGGGCTGACGCCGGAGGACATGGCCATGTTTGGGGGCACACCGCTGTTTAGTAACCCGCAGGACCTGATTGCGCATTTCGGAATCCAGATGGATGCCGGAGACTTCGGGTGGGACCCGAGTTCGTGGGACGAGTTTGTCGTTGATGTGAATATGGAAAGGTCACCTGGGGATGATGGGTAATTTTAGTTTGAGTGACTAAGGGAACCACAAGAGGAGGAGGAGGAAGAGGAGGCGCATGGGATACCTACATGAACTGGCGCGTAGGTGTGGTGTATGACATGGGAAAATGAAAGGAAGGAATGAAATGGTGATGCTGTACGATAGGGATGACGAATCACGCCCATCAATACTGGAGAATGGAAGAGAAATCTAGGCTTCCAACTGAAATTCATTGTAATTGTGTAGGATTGAATGAGTGAAAGATATCCGACAGCTTGATATCTGTTGTTTCAAGCAAGTGGCCCCAGTGGTTAGGTATCTTAACATCGTTGTAGGAATACGGTGTAGGTGAACGGGAATGGTCGACGAACCTTCATGCCCTAGTGGTAGTGGTATGTCACTGGACACTAGAACAATAATAACCACTAAACGAAGTTACAGGGGGTACGTCACGGCCAGTAGGGTGACTTCTACTTAGATATTTGAGAGCAGCTGGGAAGGGTAAAGGTAGATGCCAAGCGAAAAGCACTCAACGTTACAAATACTTGAAGACATGCATGCATCACACCACTAGCAATGAGAAAAACTTTGACAACCGACGCAGGGTGAGTTGGCATTTGTCTACGTAGACGAAGCCGGACGTCTTGACATCCCTCTTCTGGCCGAGCAGATCTAAGGTAAACCGCATCGTCTCATCAAGAAGTCGTAATTCACAGCTTCGTACTCAGGTGTCATTCGTCCATCTATCAAAAGGGTGGTTTGAGTAAGGTTTCCCTTCCCTCCCCTGCTGCTTTTTTGGCCATGCTCGCGAAAAGATGATGTTTTGAATTGATTTCATTTCTTTTGGTGGCCCCCGCCTTCAGAGAGCAAATGCACGTGATAGTTCCATAGACCTAGTGAACACCTGCCAAGTAGTAGTAGCCCGCCCCTCCATTTGTCGAAAACCAGAGAAACAACGCCGCACAACAGCCAACACTTTATGCAAAGGTGGTGGGACGCTTCGCGCTGAAGATCTTCTGGTTGTTGAGCTTGGAGACGCGGTGGGGGAGGGGGAAGCTGAGGCCCTTGGTGATGAGCTGCTTGATGTAAGGGCGCTTGACATCGTCGCCCTTCTCGAGCTCGACGACCTTGAGGATCTGTTTGAAGGTTTGTTAGTAAGTTCGCCATCTCGTGGGAGGCGTTCGGCGCAAGGGCACATACGTGGATGGACCTGAAGCGGGCACGGTGGCGGGCGGCCATGTCGGAGTAGAGAGCCTCGACGGCGTCGGTGCGGGACATCTCACGGTACTCCTTGTACATGTTGTGGGTGCCGGAGCGGGAGTCGTAGCGGAGCCAGACACCGAAGTTCTTGACCTTGAGGGGGTGCTTCTCCTGGATCTGTAGCGTGCAAAGTCAGTATCTGACTGCAGTGCTTTTGGAAAGTCGAGTTTTCGGTGACGTACCTCCTTGACGCTGACGATCTCACCAGTGGCCTTCTTGACCTTCTTCAGGCCACGCAAGAAGTACCAGTAACGGGACTTCGCAACCGTGACATTGGGAGCGAAGATGGTCATGCGGTACAACGCGGGAGTCGGGTTGGACTCGGTGGGCAAGTGGCGCCCAATGACCTCGTATTCCGAAAGACGACCTATAGCGAAAATAATTAGTTATGCGTCGACCTGGGACCACCAAATTTCTGGATCCAAAGATGCGAGTTGCTGTGTCATTTTGAGCTGCTGCGAATCTTCCGGTCGATCGGATTCGGATGGGCGGACAAAATCGCGTTGCATCGTGAGGTCAGGCCAGGTCTTGCGCTCATTCCCCTCCTTCCTGTTCCTCCCAAGCCAAGCCCCGACTCTTTCGTCGTTTGGTAATCTGTGGTGGTCTCGCTTGACATGCGAGCTCATGGTTGTCGATGATGGTGAATCCAGGAAGCAGGCGCGCTGTTGCTGTCGTGCGGTGCCATACTACGACATCTTCGTGATGTCTCAAGTAGCATTGAAAAAGTTTGTTCGTCGCGGTCGGGTTCGAAAAATTCGCAGCAAGCATTCGCATCCAAGATCCAGATCCAAGCGAGGAGAGAGGAATTGTGCTTACCCATCTTGAATATTTTGTTAGAAACTGGAGATCCCCCACGGACTTGAGTAATTGGTGACTTACTTTGAAGAGCTGGCCGATGGTCGTCGATTATCCGATATCGTGGTGGTTGCTGCTGGGTCTGAAGCCGAATGGGAAAACAAAAAAGTTGGGTAAATGCAAAAAAGGGCGAGAACCCTATGTGTCAACGCCACACTTTCCTAAGCGACTGGACCCCACCTTGTTGCGGCTGGTGGGGATCCACCTCAAGCCGCCCAGTTTTTCGAGAAGCTTTGTCAATGCATTCCTGCCTTGAATGTCAGGCGCAGAACAGCCGGTGTCCACCAGAAAGATCAGAGGGAGCAGCTGCCTTTGGTGAATCTCAGAGTCACTGGGTTCTGACCAATCACAGCGCAGACCGCCCGCCATTGAGCAACAGCATCACAGAGGCAACTACATTTGCTGGCTGGTGTTGGACCGGGATCGCTTTCATCATAAGTCTGGCAGGCAGATTGCCCTTTGATTCAAATTTGCAGGTTATATCCGGTTGAATTAGCGTCACTTTCCAGCAACGGTCTTTAGAGCGCTCGCTCTTCAGCCCTTCGGCTCTTCCATCACTGAACTCACTCACCCACCCTTCAACGTCGACAAGGGCTCAAAGAGACAGGATGGAGCTTTTATTTGAGGAGTTCCGCAATGCCTACAAGACTCGGTCTGGGTACTCTCTTGCGCAGACACTTCAGCCATTCAGTCCAGTCAACAAGCCGGACAAGCTACGGTCCATCTATCTGAGCACCAACGTCCAAGAAGCCAAGAGCGACATCAAGTACATGCTTCTCGGTCGGGGCCCGGGATCTAAGAAATTCAAGCTCGACCATGAGGAGACTTCGGGCTGGGTAGAAGTCTACACGGCGTACTGGAAGGCCATTGGCGAGATCCTCAAAGTAGAGGGCGACTCCGCTGCTGGAGGTAGGGTGAGCTCTCGCGCAATACGCCTTCCGTTCCCTCTCTTCAGTTTCACCACTAACACCAATAACAGTCTTCATCATGGACCAAAGTTTATGAGTCTTGGAAGGAATTCACCACCGCTCTCATCCGAGGCTACACTAATTATGGCTTCGAGGCGTGGACAATTCCGTGCCTCTACCTTGCCGGCAAGCATTTGCGACTCTTCGCCATCAGCTCAGACGAGGAGCGGAGCACCACTGATGCTACTGCTGACGCAATGGAGCTTGCTGACGACTACGACCCGGACCTGGAGAAGCAGAAGCAGCTGCGCGACTGTGAGCAGCAGCTCAAGCGTATATTCACCCTGTGTTTGAGCGATAGGTATGTCGACAACCCCAAATACTCTTGGCTAGTCCTAACTGTATACAGAGCACCTCTCGAAGAATCGAGGAAGTGGGCCATTTACTACATCATCAACTTGCTCTTCAAGACCTACTTCAAACTCAACTCGGCAAGTCTGAGTCGGACAATCCTGAAGGCGTTGTCCACGAACCGTGGAGATATGCCTCCCCTGGAAGCATTCCCCAAGTCACAGCGGGTGACATTCAAGTATTATGAAGGTGTGCTGTTCTTCTTGGAGGAGAACTATGTCGAGGTACGTTTTTCGAGGGAAGGCTAGCTCAGTGTTGCGAAGCTGACGAAACCCAGGCCGAAAAACACCTCACTGAAGCATGGTCACTGTGTCATAAGGATGCGAAGAGCAACCAAGAGTAAGTACTCTCGACACACCCCACATCACCATCCCCAACCACTAACAACCATCACAGGAGAATTCTTACCTACCTAATCCCATGCCATCTTCTCACCACACATACTCTGCCCAGCAGCAAACTTCTTGAGCCTTATCCACGGCTGCAGAAGCTCTTCCTCCCACTGTCGCAATCCATCCGCAAGGGCGATTTGCGCAACTTTGACTTAGCTTTACAAGAAGGCGAAGAGGAATTCGTCCGCCGCAGAATCTACCTTACGTTGGAGCGCGGTCGCGATATTGCTCTGCGCAACTTATTACGCAAAGTCTTTGTCGCTGGCGGCTTCGAGGAGGCAAAGGAAGCCGGCACCGCTCCCGTCCGTCGGACCAGAGTCCCAGTCGCCGAGTTCACAGCTGCTATTAGCCTCGGTAGCCAAGAGACTGTTGACCCTGACGAGGTCGAGTGCCTGCTGGCAAACATGATTTACAAGGTACGTGGCAGCTTTTCTTTTGTCGTGCGTCTGGGGTTGCCTTGTAGGCAACATCATCACGGGACCGACCTTGCGTGCTCAAGGGGATCCAGTGTCGTGATGACTTCCACAAAAGCTTGCTACTCTGACAAAGTTCCATAGCAACCCCTCATTCACAAGTACATGACTAACAATCCGCCCATCTGCAGAACCTCATGAAGGGCTACATCGCCCGCGAGCGCGGCATCGTCGTCCTCTCCAAGAACGGGGCGTTCCCCGGAACAGGGGTTTAAACGGGGATGGTGGGGTGGGGACTCCGACCGCATGAGACTTTAGACCAGTCCAAGAACTTGAGATAATACAGCCTTGGTACCACACCATCGTGCGCATAAAAGCGGCGAGAAGATGTTTGACCCAATAGGCATGGACGATACGGCCTCGTATAAGGTGTGAGCAAACCTGGCGGCATGCATTGGTGCGAGGAAGATGGATGCATGAGTATCTTAGTGATACCGGGCAATTAAAAAGCAAAGTCTATCTCGACGCCGTTTGTTGGGATCAATCAGTAGATGCACATCAATACATTGATACTCAGCAAATTGCTTCAATTGTTCCATTGCCCAATTACATAAGCATATCAAAACAACCAAAACAACAAAAGAGTTCACCCCCCCGGTGCTGAACTGGGGGCTACATCTCTTGGTGCTCATGCTGGGAATTTTTTATGGTGCTCATTCCGGGATTCGAACTCGGGGACTCGTATGCGCTGAGCCTGTCGTCGAGTAGGCTGGTTGGCGTAGATAAATTGATGTTGACCATTAACCAATTCCACCACCCACGCCACAGTTTGACCTGACCCCCCGACCTAGGGGGGCGCCTGCTGTGCTGGTGACAGGAATGGAGTTGAGGGGGTCTATATGGGCTTCTTCCTGTGTGTATTCCACTCGGGACCCGGATGGATGGGAATGGGAAGTTATCAGGTGAAGGTTTGGGACTGGGAAGGTAGGTAGGTGCGATGCGGATGAACTTGCGGCTTCCCACCTCAGGCAAGCACGCTTTCGTGGCCTGGGGGCCGGCGCCATTGGTACTGTGAGACTGGCCTTTGATGAATGAAAGAAAAGAAATTCAATTACAAAAAAAAAACAATGTTCACTAGATAATGCATATGTAAAGGTTTTCCGATTTCCACTGGCCATCTATTTATCTGCTATGTACGTGTGACATATGTTGAGCTTGCATTTCACCGCGATCTGTCACGCAAAGTAGATTGTTTGCAATGTCACTACAGCATTTACATGCGGTCACGTAGGAACAGTCACACGCCATTCCTCAAATGCAGAAAACAACTCCCAAATACAGTCTTTCCTATACCACCTCACGCACACATCTGCTACATCAACCTTCACCTCCCGTCCTTCCATTGAATAAAGTCCCTCACATGGCGACTTAATCACGGCACGAGTAGTGAGTACGGAACGATGACTGACGTCTCATCAACACACGCAGACGTACGACCGGCCTACCCAAGTAAGCGAAGAGGGGGTCCCTGATGCATGAACTTTAGTTTAAGTGCTTGCATTGGTAGCGTGATAAGGTAATTCAGGAGAAGCAAGGAGAAAAGCCGGGGTCTGAAAGTATGTGTGTGTGTATGTGTTCCCGAAGAGGGGTGGGTTGGGCTCGGAAGTGATGTGCGTGAATCGATGATAGTGTTGCTCAGAGTCAGCCTCAGTGATGCTAGCAATATGACTCACCGCTGGAAGAGGGGCAAAGTATCCAGAAACACGGCCGCTACGCTAGGCGAGCCTGGTCGCCGCGGCGGGCGGACCAGGAACCGGGACACTCTACCGGGGGGGGGGGGCGATGGATGGGGTTGAGATAGGCAGGGATAGTTTGCCTGGATCGGGGCCTGTGAATTCGGGTGCCTTGGGCATTCACGAGTATTCACATAGAACTTTTGCTCATGGTTGGAAACTTCGGTAGGTCGTGTTGGCTATGTTTCAGATCACAGGGTGGAGGAGGTTCGAGATAGCAGAATAAAGCTATTCAAATTACTCGTTGAATTTCGTGAACATCGCAACGACGAGATATCTTCGTTTCCATCGGAAACAAGACTCGAGATTCACAGCATCAACTCCTGTAGATTTTCAGAAACTAGAAAGCGAGTGTGAAGAATGATAATTTTACAGTTAATGATTTCGATCTCTTTCGATAAAGACGCAATCTGACCCAAATTTCCATCATCTCTTTTCTCGCTCTTTTCGCTCCACTACACCCAGAGCATCCGAGCATCTCTTTTCTCAGTCATCCCTATATGAATGATGAACAAGAGGTAGGTTTTCCTGTCTTCAAAGAAACCGCCTATCAACATTCTTCTTCTCTCATGTAGTCATCGTCTCGCCAAAAGTAAGAAATAAATGTACAAGGGTTTCTCGTGAGAAGTCAAAAAGTCGAACAAAAGATGCCAGAAAAATTGCAGAAATAATACAAAATGTTGTTCCCAAACGCCATAACCAGCCCGATCCAGTGGAATGGGGTTTCAAACGCCCTGATGTTTATGGTATTTTGCGGGTTTTGCGAGTCCAGCAGGCTTTATATCGCCCGTTCCAGCGACAGTCAGTGGGGGGATAAAGTGAGAAGTAGATGAGAAAGATGAAAGGCAAAGATTGCGTGAGAACGTAAAGTCATTAGTTATGATGAGCCGGGTATTCATTCGTCCTTGGCTGAGATGAGAAGATTTGAGGTGTAGGAAATGGGATGGGTGAGGATGTGCCCCTTAGAAACGGCCACCACGGGGCGTGCGAGGTGAGTTTCTATACAATGTATCAGTAAATAAGTGGTGATGTTCCAGTTTGAGGGATGACTTACACAGTAGAGATGTCATCGACGTGATTGCAAAGCGCGACAAAGAGGTCAAAGAAGAGCGGGGTGCCGCCGTTGTACATCTCCAGCTGCATCGTCCCGCTCCGCTTGAAGGTGCTTCGGCTGCGGATGATGAGGGCGAGGTAGTGCGCCCGCAGCTTCGAGTCGCTGTCGGGCGTGTTGGCGTAGGCGTACCGGGCAGACGCCAGGATGGTGCTGCACTGGATGCCGGATTCTATTAGACATCAGTTAGCAGGGTATTGCAAAAGTGACGAGGTAGAAGAGAAGAGACTTACGAAGACCCTGCTTCCTCAGTGAAACCCTCTTCAGCTCCTCGAGACCGTACTTCTCAGCAGCGCAGTAAATCACAGTGTCCTTGAGCAAATCGCCGTCGATGCCGTGGTGGTAGACGGTCGACTCAACGCCGCCGCGGCCATTTTCTCCGTTGCTGAGGGCCTCAATCTCCCACGAGTTGCGTCGCTTGTTGTGCACCAGGCGCGGGTAGTAGTCGCCCTTATAGAGATACTCCAGCACGGACGAGAAGATTTCGGGCTCCTCGTCTGGGAGGGCGATGCGCTTGGTCGGGGCGGCCGACGAGGAGGCAACGGAGGCCGGGGATCCGACGACGTCGGCGGGGCTGCCGTAAAGGTTGGCGCGGAGGGCGTTTTGGAAAAAGGGCGATGCGCAGAGGACGTCTTCGTGGGCGGCGAAGAGGCGCTGTTCTGTGCCGACGACGAGGGTTACAATTGCAGAGGTGAGGTTGCTGTTAATTGGTGAGGTTTTTGTTAGTATCTGGTCGCCTTTTTCTCTTTTGAAGCGACACGCATGGGGTTTGATAGAGGATACAGAGTAAACGTGTTGAAGACTTACTTGCTCATGGAAGTATCCTCGGTCGCGGTGCTCGTGGTTGTAGTTGCGGTCGTTGGTCTTCGGCTGTGGCGGGATTCATGGCGATGTTTCGAAACGCCGCTGGATTTGCTGAATGATGAGCTGGACTTGGATGCCTTGTGGCTCTTTGAGAAGCTCTTGTTCACGGTTTGTGGCGGTTCGTAGCGTCTGCTGAACATTTTGGCTGATGAATACTGGAATGGATGTGATCGAGTTTGCGGAGTCAAAGAGAGTTAAATGCGAATAGCAGATATCACACCTCGGATGCCTAAGGAACGTCGTCGGAGGGGGGGTTTCAAGTGATGGAAAAAGTAGGTGATGGATGGAATAATTGATTATCGATGACTATGGGATGGACCGAAAGATTGATTCTGATGGGAAAATGTGTTTGACCTACCTAAGGCGCCGTTTCCGAGATGTGTGGATATAGGAGAGAGAGAGAGAGAGAGAGAGAGAGAACTCCAGAGAAACTCATTGGGGATGGGCGATGGGATTTTAATATATACAGCCTGATTTCCTGGCACGGTCCCCCGAGATCCCTCCCCTACCTGAAGTACGTTGCAGTGATTGCCTTGCACCGGCTGCTTTTGAACAGGATGGCACCGAGACTCTGTGCCTGGGCGAGAGGGGGGCGGACTGATAAAAAAAAAGTGGTGAGAACGTCCTCATTGGACGCGTCTGGGGATTCAAGGGGAACGCGTCGGTGGGTCTGAGGGACACACGCCTTGGATGCGATATCACGTGCACGCCAGCAGGGTACTTCGCTGATGAGAAAGTGGGTGGTGTGCCGGGTTTCTGCTTGGCTGCCTCTGTGGTGGCACTGTTGGGAAGACTGGCGGACACTGGCTAGCACTGAGTACCAGGCCAAACCCGGTCCTAAAACCGCGCCATGTCCAAGCCATCCGCAGGGGGAACAACCTAACAAGCAGCCGAGTCCCCAAAAAGGGAGAGAGTGTGTGCAAGCTTGCGTTGGCTTTGGTGCAGTTCGTTCGGTGCTACTGTGCTCAAGTCAGGGGGGCTGGATGATTCCCTCGCTCCCGTCGACAGGTCACTCCGCCGTGACTCAATGGCCCAAAGAGTACCTCTGTCCGGGAGTTTGCGGGCTGCTGAGCACTTATCTGTGGTGCGCCGACGGTTCACACTTCACACGAACGCTGCCTAGGTGCCTGGAACAGTGGGCAAAAGCCAGAGATGATCCACGTTGAGGCGGCATGGCCGCGTCCAAGCTTCTATACCCATCACTTGGCCGGAATAAGAAATGTTAGGAGCAGACACTCAATCTAGCTTCACTGCCGTCGCACAAGGGGCGAATACTTTCAGTCAAGTTCTACGAATAGTTAAGAGATCAAAGGAATCCTCTGGTGGTACGAAGCATCAATTTGGAGACGAATTGAGATCACAGAGATCTAATGTATTGTTCGGCTCTATCTCGAAAGCCCGATGCTTAGAAAGAGGGCTTTCGGGATGGCGTAAATGGTGTTGGACCACAAGGGATCGTACCATGAACCAGGCTCGGTTTCCTGCAAAGAGAGGCAAGGCAATTTAACCCCTGACCATCACTCGCCTCTCTAATAAACCTTGCACCGGTTTGCCGGGGCCCGGGGAGCGGTTCCTAGCTTCCCAGTCCGAAATCCAAACCTAACTCGAACGCCGAGGGTTCTCTCGGCAATGCCATGGACTCATTCAATTCGCCAATCAGGTTTGTCCACTTCAGGATGACCAACATTTACAGCTCTGAAGTGTCACCGTGACAGCTTCGTGCGAACTCACTGCTTAGCTATCCGTAGACAGACCTCACTTGATGTCATTCTAAGTGTCCATCAGATTTTAGCAGCGACCTGCTCAATGCAGTCGACGACGGCTTTGCGTCCCTCTAGCCTGATGACGGCATCGTTGTGGAAGGCGCCCTGCACCGTCTTCTTCTCTACCTCGAGCCCGACCTCCTCGCAGCGCCGGACTAGCTTCGCGCCGTGCTCGGCCGGCACTAGCTCGTCCCTGCCAGCTTCCACGATCGTAATGCGAGGCCTCTCACATATCCTCGACCCGGACCAGTTCCCGGCGATCGTAGCTAGGTTCGTCCAGCTGTCCAGGTGATTCCGGAGAAACGGCCAGAGATGACGGTACGGCACCCATTTCTGTGGATACAGCGTCGCCAGCATGTCCTTGACGGACGTGAAAGGTGTCTCGAGGAGCAGCGACCGCAGTCGCAACGTGGGCGGGAACGCTTCCCACGCGGCGAGGTTCGTAGCGACCCCAGCGCCGATGCTCTGACCCCAGAGTATTACCTCCGGCATGGGCTGGTGCCCGCGGTCATTGTGCTCGCTGTGCACCCGCCCAATCCAGTGCAGAGCCGCCTGCGCGTCCAGGTTGATGCCCTTCTCGGAGGGACGACCCATCGACGTCCAGTACCCGCGGTAGCTTAGACACACGAACGTGTATCGCGCGGGCCGTTTGCTCTGCTGCAACGACTGCAGGACCCATGATAGGTCGGGCAACCGTGGGGGAATGGACGAGGCGTTTCCTGTTTTCCCCTGAGCATGAGCTTTTGATCGTTTGGAGAGGTACAAGGGGAAAAGCTATGCGCCAGCCAGGGTATGGGAACGGGGACGAGGCGGACCCTGAAAGTAGAGGATGTAGATGGACGGCACCGATAGAGTGTCGTCGAGCGACGTGGTCTTCCTCCCACCAGTCGATGTCGCCGAGGCCACGCAGAGGGCTAGATCCGTCCCATCGGCGGCGCGGATCCTCTTCTCCTCCCACTGTACACCCCAGCACTGCTTCGCATAGTCTTGGATGCGCTCCCTACGTGCATTGGGTGGCAGGCCAGGCATGTAAATGATCTTGTTCTGGAAGATGATCATTGCGAGACACTTTTGCGTCCATAGAGTGACCAAAAGGCCGGTAAAGACGAGCGGTGGTAGATAGAGCGCCTCAGCTTGGAAGTGCCGCTTGTGGATGAGGCAAAGGTGCGGCGTCAAAGGTAGCTTCGGCATCGACTGCCGCTGAGACGTGGCTCGCCATGGTGGCATGACGGGAAGTGCTTGAAGACGGCGAGGACTACGTAGAAGCTGCCCAATCGAGGATGCGCGGATAGCATGCATCACGGTTGCTCGCGAGACATGGAGGCGCGTGTCGGGCGTGGGTGGATGATGAGGTGTTGGGTTGAAGGTTACGGAACAAGACCCTGAGATGCGGAATACCTTAAACAGAAGCGTTAGGTACCCTGGAAAAGAGGGGCGGTTCCTGGCGGCTGCTGCTGATGCTGCTGCTGCTTGCGCAAAAATCCAAGATGGAGACGTTGGTTGGGAGTAGGTATCGTGGACTACTGTATAGAGAGACGGGTCATAGCATGGTGCGCATGTGGTCGTGTTCGAACGCGACTGGGTTCAAAATGGCCGGCATGCAGGCGGTCCTATTCCGTCCACAGAGCTTCGGAAGGAAGGTTCGAATTCGGCGTAGGCGGCAAACGAAGACGGACTTGTTAAGTACCAAGAGCGCAGGCCGGGGTCCAAGGATTCCAGCCCAATGGTCGGTGGTCTGCATTCGTCCATCAATTGCAACGGCCATTCTTCTCCCTTTGGGTCTTGTACCACAAGGTAGGCACTCGAGGAATGGACAATGGGCGGGCTTCCGCCATTGACACAAGGTGGGCGTGGTTTTGGGGTGTCCTGCTATGCGAAATGGAAATGGAATAGACATGTGCTGGGTCTGAGACAAGGTCGCTCTGTGACACACGGGCAGGCCAGACACATCTCAGCTTGACAGCCAAACAGTCTGCAACAATGGCTTTCTAGAGGGTGGTCTCGATCTATATGGCAAGACAGTCATTAAGCTGCTCTATCTACCTACTGCTCCAACATTTGTTCTCTTCAAGAGCATCATCATTTCATTCCACGGCGTGATTCTCGCCCTCTCGGTCCACCCAGCCTGGTACATGACCTTCCAGTGACAGATCCAGTGCCCCCGCCTTCACTGCTACTCGGCTAGGGTACTTTCTAGGGATATTGGGACGTCATACTCTAGCGCCAAACGGCCCTCGATGGATTGCTGGAACCAGCCCGCCAATCCTACACTCGTGAAATAAGGTCAGGTATCCAGTAGGACAAATGGAAAAGGCAGGAGAGAGGGATGAACCGTAAGGTACCTTACGTCGTGTAAAGTAGACGACAGGCCCAGCCATCTCGTCACTTCTCAAATTGAGAGACCTTACCTCATTGCAGGTGTTCCCAAACCCCCTGGGGCAGGGCATGTGCTGAGGTGTTCCCCTTCCCCCGCCCAGAATCGGCACCAATACGGGCACCAGGCAGTCGGGGAAGTCATCCACATGTGCGGTGTGTGTGAGTGTGAGTGTGAGAGCAAGCGGGCGTAACTAATAGATAAATATACAGTCGCCCTCGAAATTGAACATTGCCTTATTTTACGCCGCGAAATCGCACCTCCCTTCCTCTCCATACCACACCATATCCTAGCATGTGCAACACTGGATCTTGATTACCTATCGATCCCTCTGTAAACAACCCCTCTATTTCCACCTTGGTGCCCATTTCCTCCAGGTCCTCTGAACAACCATCCCACTTTCTTGATCAGATCTTCCCACCCCGCCCCGCCGAGAATTCACCGCCGACTTCAACAAACACCCTTCCCCCCCGTTTGCTCATTCTCATCCCGCCACTCCTGAAATTTCCAACATCACTCGGAGCCACGACCGAGCCAAGAAGCCTTATCTTTCAACAGCACCCACCACCGCAACAGCCCCGAACCGATATCGAATCCCGCCCACCATGCCCGGCCCCGTAGATCCCAGTACCCCGACAGAGAACTCGTCGCCGCGGCACTCCCCGCGCATCGAGCTCCCGGAAGAAGACGCCAGCGCCTCCCCCCGTACAGACGGCCAGACCAGCCCAGGCCTCAGGAACAGCAAAGGATGGGACGGCAAGCTCAGAGTCCAGCGCACCGCTGTCCTCGCCAACCCAGAGGTCCTCTCCGACCCTGAATCCGACGACGAGAACGTCCTTCCGGGCGAAGAATTACCAGCTGACGAAGGCAAGTCTTCATTACCTGGCGCGCTCACTGCGCTGAGCTACAAGTGCGAGGCGAGACGTGTTGTATAGAAACTAACATACCTACCCCTCCCACAGATCTTCTTGACGGCGAAGACCCAGAAACAGACGAACTCATCGTCTCCCACGCCCGCGTCTCCTCCATCCCCGCCCTCCGCCTCGAACGCTTCCAAAAGGTAGTCCGCCTCTGCCTCCGCCAAAACTCGATTCAGTCCATCGACGGCCTCGCCGCCCTCGCGCCCACCCTCGAGGACCTCGACTTCTACGACAACCTCATCTCCCACATCCGCGGCCTCGACGACCTCGTCAACCTCACTTCACTCGACCTTAGCTTCAACAAGATCAAGCACATCAAGCGCGTAAACCACCTGGCCAAGCTCAAAGAGCTCTTCCTCGTCGCCAACAAGATCTCCACAATCGAAAACCTCGAAGGGCTCGATGACCTCACCTCGCTCGAGCTCGGCTCCAACCGCATCCGCGTCCTCCAGAACCTCGATTCCCTGAAGAAACTTGAGGAGCTTTGGGTCGCCAAGAACAAAATCACCGAGCTCACGGGGCTTGGCGGCCTCTCCAACCTTCGCCTCCTCAGCATCCAGTCCAACCGCATCCGCGACTTAGCGCCCTTGGCCGAGGTGCCAGGCCTCGAGGAGCTTTACATCTCCCACAACGCCCTCACCTCCCTCGCCGGTATCGAAAAGAACGAGAAGCTGCGCGTGCTCGACATCTCCAACAACGCTGTCGCGAGCGTAAAGGGCCTCGCGCCCCTCAAGAACCTCGAGGAGCTCTGGGCCAGCTACAACCAGATTGGCGACTTCAACGAGGTCGAGAAGGAGCTCAAGGACAAGGAACACCTGACGACAGTCTACTTTGAGGGCAACCCGCTACAGCTTAGAGGACCCGCGGTGTATCGCAACAAAGTCCGTCTGGCGTTGCCCCAACTATCCCAGATCGACGCAAGTGAGTACATTAGGAAAAACACCCATTACTGCGGAAAATTGTTTGCTGACAAATCGTTCCAGCCTTTGTCAAGACATCATAATTTTCAGGCACAGCGTTCTAGCATGAGACTTACGAGGCTGGCGTGGCGTTACAAAGGCGTTTGATTAGAAGATCTGGGTGCGAGGGCAGACATCAATGGACATATAAGGGCCTTTCTTCACCACACGAGATATTTCTCGGCACACACGCACACTCATACGCACCCAGCTATGCAGTTTGGTGAGCAAGAGTGCATATTGCCTGGTGTGATGCATCGTTCATGGGCGGGCGGCTTTTTCTGACTTTGGGCGTGTAAACGCTGCATGTCGCGGGCGAGCGGGATTTCAATCTGGCTTGGTCATGGCTTTCGTTGTATTTAAGCGGCAGATCATAGTCTTGCCGGGAGAGAGAGGGTATCTAGATACAATCGACGTACGTTGTACGTGGTTTGACACTTGTTGGACAGATTTCCCACGTACACCGCCAGTTGCAGACTACCAAGAGGCCGCTCTCATAGGGGTGGTATGGGTAGTTATGAAGTGCGATAAATCAGGTATATGGATGGATGGGATATGAGATACGATCCATTTAGCCAAAGATCCAAAGCTTCTCAGTGGGGAAATACTGATAGATCTGTTAGCCGACAATCGTAACACACGAGCATCTCAGTGATGAATAAACTTACGTTCGCGGGCTGGTTGAAGCGGGTCTTCCTGTCAAGGGAGCTGATCTTGTCGATCTCAGACTGCTCAAGGTCGAAGTCGGTGACGGACAGGTTCTGGGCAAGGACGTGCTTGCGGCTGGTCTTAGGGATGACAGCAAGACCGCGCTGGGTAGCCCAGCGGAGAAGCACCTGGGAAGGCTCCTTGTTGTGCTTCTTGGCGATGGCCGTGACAGTCGGCTCCTCGAAGAGAGGGACAAAGTCGGTGGCGTGCTCCATGTTGAACTCCTTGAAGGAGGCAGGGCCGAACGAAGAGTAGGCGGTGACGGCAATGCCCTCGTTGGCAGCCAGCTTGATCAGGTCAGGCTGGACCAGGTAGGGGTGGTGCTCGATCTGCAGTGTAGCAGGAGGAATCTTGGCGTAGCGGAGGAGGTCGTAGAGGAGCTGGCCCTGGAAGTTGGAGACACCGATGCTCTTGGAGAGCTTGTGCTCGACGAGGCTCTCCATGGCGGTCCAGGTCTCCTGGATGGAGGCCTTGGAGGGGCGGATCTCGGACTTGCCATCGTAGTGCCAGCCGGGAGGGTATCTGACGGAGGGGTCGACGTACTCGAGGGCGACGGGGAAGTGGATGAGGTAGAGGTCGAAATAGTCGACACCCCAGTCGGCGAGCTGCTTCTTAACGATGGGCTCTACGCGCTCGCCATCGTGGAAAGTGTTCCAGAGCTTGGAAACAATGAAGAGCTCCTCACGCTTGACGAGACCCTCCTTGATGGCGCGGGCAACACCCTGGCCACACTCGACTTCATTACCGTAGTCTGGATAATTGACAACATCAGTGACATGTTCTTCTTGTGGCAGTATTGCTTGTCATGGCGAATCAAAGTGTGTATGAATTGATTTGTCCGTGTATAATTCGGGGAATGCGGGAGTGTAGCCCCGAGTGTAAGTGGACAGCATTGGTAAGGACATTGAGGGGAGTGACGAGTGACAGGGCAGGTCGGGGGGGGGGGGGTGCGAATCCCGGCTGAAGTGCAGGGGTGGCTGCGGAGAGCTTTCCGGGTGAAGTTGTAGCGCATGGGGGAAAATCCCCATCGGTGCTCTGCAGAAATTCGCACCGATCATCCATAGTGGGGTTGAGGAGGGGTAGTTGGCTACGCGGGAAGAATTATGGAGGGGGAGAAATGAAGCATACCACCAACACCAGCATCAATGGCAGCGCGCAACGCGGTTTGTCCAAGAGAAACCTGTCCAATTGCTTCTTTGTTGCCACGCAGTTGCCGCCTGCCACTGAAGCTGGATTGGTTGTGCAGCAGTATTCTCCCTCTTGTTCTTGGTCTCACCACACCATTGACAGTGTATGCTCGTGCTTGTGGGTTGTTCACTTACCGCAGGCGCCGTCAAACAGACGGTATCCAGCCTTGATGGCCTCGTAGACGGTGTCGGCGGCAATGTCGTTGTCAACCTTCCACAGACCGAAGCCCACTTGGGGCATTTCAAAGCCGCTGTTCAGCTTGATGTTGGGGACGGCCATGATGGATGATAGCTGCCGTTCTTCTGGGGAGTAGAGTAGGACGACGAAAACAGGTTCGAGGGTATCAAGGTCAACGAAGCGTGGCAGAAGTTCAGAGAAAGAAGAGGAGAGGGAGAGAAGGGGAATGCGGACGGCGCTCGAGGTCAGGAAGAGGGACAATGTACGTATTTATAACCATGGTACGTCAGGTGCTCTGAGACGCGGTTGCCAGGCAATGTAGAACATTCGTCTGGCCGGGAAGGCAAGCTTGCTGAATCCTAGGGTAAGTAGACCAGTTCCGACTTCCTGGCTTTCCTCTGCCCGCGTCGATAGCCTCCACCTGTCCCCGGCCGGCTGCATGCTTTCAGACACCCCATGGTGCCGTCACCATACAGATTTGGGGCGACATCTAGGGCTCAAGAGGCTGGCGGGGTGAAAAGGGACCGATAGGATAAAAAGTGACACACAGATCGCCTTCCCCAGAGCCAACCAAACCAGCCAGGGGGTCCCCGCCGGAGGATAGAAAGCTAGCTGGTCGTTCCGAGCCCGTGACACGTCGACATTGGACGATGTGAAATATCCATAAGTGTAGTGGCTGGGTAATGTTACGGGCAGGAAGAGGCACCTCAGACGGAGAGGCGCGCGTGGATAAGCCGGCCGGGCTTCATGTGGAGATTGGGGGCTGCTACAGAATGACACGCGCCCATTTGTGCGTTTAAATCAGCCTGTGAGGACTTGAGCTACGGTCGACCCAGGAGACTTCCATTGGGGTAAATTGGAGTTCAAGCTTCCCGCTGCTGGCTGTCAAGGTCAGGGTCCCAGTTTGCAAAGTTTCGCGGGATGGAAGCCAAGATGCATGGGAATTGTGATTTTGGCAGCCCTTCCTTTGGGTTGGTCGAGGGCGGCTTTCCTGCTCTGCCACTGGTTCCCTTTGCCTCTACCTACTGAGGAACTGCGGCCAGCTGACGCTGTGCCTCCCTGTCACTCATATTAGTTCAGGATTACCGTATTGTGACAGATTTTCCGCAAGTGTCACTGTCCCCTCAGGTGTGCCTGTGTTCTGAATGAAAGGAGCTGCTTCTTCTCCTTCTTGATTCTCGCTTTCTCTTTCCATCGCAAGCGTAAGTATCCGCCTGTTCCTGGCCTGGACCTTCTCAACGAGCATCGCTGCTTACCCCAAAGGCCCGCACAAGGTGCTATTGTGGAGAATTGATTTCGCCGAGACCCGTTTTATTTTGCATTTAGCCTGAATGCTGTTCGGCGCGGCTAATTGGCTTCTCTTCTTCCATCGTCAACGGCTTGCTGGACTTCTATCCGCAGAATTTCACCAGCAGACCTTCACCCGCAGAGCCCGGCAGAGAAAACGTCTGTATGCTCCCGAGTTCCGATTAATCAACGCTACTGAGTACTACACAGCGCCTAGTACAGGCCGTCGCTCCCTCAATTGCTAACCACACCAATCATACATCTTCTTGGCCGCCACTCAGATGCCAGATCTCTGGGCTGCACGGTGGCTGGAGTCAGATAACACTACTTCACTACCTACTTCACACCAGCCTCGATCCGAATCTTCACGCGGAATGTCGCACATCCCGTTACCTCATTCAGTGCACCCTCGGTCCATTTGCCGGAGCGCTTCGTATCCACGTGGGTGGGCGCGTGGGGTCATTCTGGACCTGAGACCCTCTCTGCACCTCACTTCATCCGGGTGGATCCCACCATGAGATGAATCTGAGCCTCATCCCGCTGCTCTCTTGTCGACAGAACTGCATTTGCACCCGAAATGACCAAACAGAAGGCTCCACAATTTCTTGCTTTCAACTGTGACTATGTTCTCCCAAACCTTTGTCGATATCGTGGCCAGAATAAACAAGGAGTTTTACAATGGCCTTTGTCTCGTGGCCTCGATCGAGTGCCCGCGTCCAGATTGTTCTCTGACTTGGAAAGACTGGCAAAGCGGTATTGTTCGTTCTGCTAATAAATTTCTTGCGCGCCAGCGAAGACATAATTAACTAAGGGCTTTCAAACACTTTATTTCAAGTGACAGGGCATCTTAAGGCATTGACTGCTACGAAGAATGGCGCGCTCTCAAAGCCATCGCAAGTATGCGGTACACATTGTTCTCGAAGACAACCACTGGAATCACCTTGTTTCTTGCCTGCGTACCAGTCCTCCATTGAACGAATTATGAAGAAACCTTCGAGGGAAAACACATACATATACAATCGACTGTCACTGGCATATGAATTAAGAAAAAATGGAGACATATTCATCAAACACATCAGCATCATCATTCACACTTCCAACTTCTCAAGATTGAAGCAAATGGGCAGGCACCATCGCGAAACTATATTCAATCAAGCATCATCAGTGTGTCACAGAATCCTATTCATCAGGTCCAGGCAGCCATGAACAATAACGGCCCTCACCTTCCCCAGGCCGCGCAGCAGGCCCTGAGTCAAGCATGGGTAGAGAAGCAAAGGAGAATTAAGTTGGTGAATAGGATCACAGCAAGAATGGGTGCCGAGAGGGGTGAGCAATATCTCCAATACGACATCAACGGCAACGTCCGTCCTTATCGTTTCGGGTTTCCAACCCTACCCCCTTCCGACCCAAGGATCCATGGACCCAGTGTGAAGTACGCTTCCCGCTACTTCGACTCGACCCATCTGGATGAGGCCCAAGCCAAATACGGGGGTCAAAAGCATCCCAAGGGCTACAACATCCGTCTGAAACGTATTTTAGGGGCAGGGGGCTACGGGTTCGCAGCTCACATCACACACAAGAACCCCAAAACGGGCTTCAATACTGACTGCGTGATCAAGATTGAAAAGTCTCGTCACCATGGCAATTCGGCGCTGGCACGAGAGGAGAAAGCTCTCTGGGCAAGTGCTTCCCCGCTCTGGATGGTGCAGTCTTTTGAGTATCTTTCTAACGTGTTGCAGAAATTCGTAGGAGCACAACATATCCTGCAGATATCGGATATCACTCGAGAAATCCAAGCACAAAGGGCTGCTGACCTGACTGAGTACCAGAACAGCCACCCCCCTCCCCCAGCTGGGGCCAGGTTACCCGACCCAGAGATCCAAGACAAGAATTGGAGTCTCAAGAACTTTGAAAAACAACCCATTCGCAACTTTGTCATTCTCGAGAACGCCAATCTCGGTGACCTAGGCTTGTGGCTCAGCAAGTCTAGCCGTCTTGAAAAGCGTTGGCCTCAGAGAGCCATCTGGATGCTCTTCCAAAGTCGTAAGTCTATGAAACATTCTGCCTGATGACCTTTGGATAGTGTTATTGATTCTGTTCTGATAGTCGTTCTCGGTCTGGTTGGTATGGGTTACCCTCTGAGGGAACATTACGAAGCTTCGCATCCAGATTGGGAGTATCAGAAGCCAATTGACGAGGTATTTCCCGATGACCCAAAAGTCGAACTCCAAGAAACCGTGCACTTCGATCTTGACCCCAGAAATGGTAAGTCTATTGAGAACTCTGACTTTTGGGAACAAGGTGCTAACTTGCGCAGTTCTTTTGGCGAATAGATCCATGTTTCACGGCAACTTCCCGACTTTCAAGGTACATATAACCTCTCACTCATTTTCAAGAAGGTCGTACTAACAGTTTTCAGATTGCGGACTTCGGATTAACCGAGTTCTTCAGCGAGTACGAGAATTACCCCGGACACTTCAAGTAAGTTAATGCTCAAAGGACTGCTATGAGCTTGACGTAACTAATTTTTCTTTTTCTACCAACAGCAAGGAGTTTTTCTGGCACTGTCGTATTAGAGGAAAGCCCGTTTACTACGCACCCGTAAGTCACCCGTCACGTTGCGTGTATTCCGATCGCTTTTACTAATATGCACTGTCTAGGAACAATTTACCAGCGAGTGGGATCATGTGAATGACCTCATCGATGATGACGGCATCAATCACTTCCTGGCCAATGATGGAACGAAGCCGCCAGTTGCTGGCAACTACGGGATGCATACAAACATCTACCAGGTGGGCACCATTGTACGTTGACCGCTCTGACCTCCATTCTACCGTGTTATCCGAGACTAACAAGCTTCAACAGATCTGGTGCGCCATCACTCTCTGCTCATTCCAACAGGCTGCCATTCGTGTCCCTTACAGTGACGCTTGGGGACGAGACATCACCACCTACGGAGGCGCCCTGCAGAGTGCACAATTCAACAACGTTGATCCCGAGCTCACAGATCTGGTACAGAGATGCATGGCCCATAACCCCTCCGATCGCCCGAATCTGAGAGAGCTAGTCGCCACGATCAGCAATCGTCTCGCCAGGAATGACCTGGAGTCGGACGATGCTCTGGCCGCGTGGTCCCGGGACTTCTTCACAACCCCTCGTGTTCCCGGTGACGAACCCCCTCGAGTCAAGCGTGAACGCGAGGACGAAGGGGACGACGCGGAAGGCGATGCTGGAAGGGGCGCATCCCGGCGTGCGGTCGACGATGGCAATGGCCACCCCGTTGCACTGGACGTCCAGAGGGTGCAAGCGTGGCAACAAGGGGTCCTCGACGAGCCGCTGCTCCTCGACGTTTTCCAGCCACCGGTCCAGCCTCAGTCTGCACAGGGAGACAATATTCTTGGGCAATCATCTAACAACCGTCACGTCGTCGCCCCAGGCTACCCGGCTCTATCTCCGATGCCCATGATCAAGGAGGAACCTTCGGCGGCTGCACCTGTATTCGTCGGCCTCAACAACCAGTACAATCAACCTGCCGCCGTCAACCCGCCAGGCGGCTTCGACGCAAGACTCCACGGGGCGCAGCAGACGCAGTGGCAACAGCAGATGCCAGCCATGCAGCCCAACAACGTCGTCAATAACAACTACATGTTCAACTATGCCGCGCCCAATCCCATGATAAAGAACCCCAACCTAGAAGCTCAAGCAGGTCTAGCGGCGTAACGTCAGGCGCAGGCAATCCGGGGCGCAGGAGGAATTCCATGGAACGCGTATGCCCCGCCAGGTGAGCCCTTTCTTCATCAGCCAGTGCCAAATGTTCAACCCCCTCCGCCTGGAGCTATACAGCCTCAGTTTGCGCCGTCCGCTGATCCTAACCCATACGCCCAAGTCTGGCGTTTCAATTCTGTTCACCAGCAGCCTGCAGATCCTGCACCATATGCTCAAGTCGGGCGACTGGGTCTCACGCGGCAGGAGCAGCAGGAGCAGCAACAGTGGCAGCAACAGTGGCGACAGCGGCAGCAACAGCAAGAGCAACAGTGGTAGCAAGAGCAACAGTAACAGCAGTAGAATCGGTACATCCAGGAACCTGGCCCTTCTAGGCAGCCTCAAATGCAGATGCAGTCTCTTCTCCAGGATGCTCAGGAACACGACATTGGAGGTAACGACATGGATATCTTTGACGAGTTTGTCAATGACCCCGATGCCATGGACCAGAATTGAGTCCATGGAGCAGTGAGCTTGTGAGTTATAGTCGTCTGGTTTTGTCATTTCTCCCGCCTTTCATGAAGAACTGTAACGGATCTAGAGTAGTGAATGGCGCATGGCTTGAATGAAGATCAGAGGCGGTTGGTGCCGTCTTTGGTCTATAGGTAGGTACATGAATTTTTCAAAGAAGATTCGGGATTGAGAAATGGTATATAAAGAATGTTTCTTCACGAGGTGAACTGTTGGCTTATATGTTGTTAGATTTACAATTGCTTTTGGGGCCCTTGGCTTTGCTTGAAGCAGGCGTCTGGTGTTAGACAGTTGACATAAACAAAACGATACATATATGCATGCCATTTTGTAAAAGAAGGAACGTTGTTGCAATAAGATCACATCTCGTGTGTTCTCGGGAATATCTCATAATAAGGCTCTGTGGGTGGTTGATGACCCGAGCCATCGCCATCACCATGAACCCATGCATACTCTACCCTTATACTAAGCTATATATACTTGGGCTGGTTCATAGCAACTGGTGAGAGGATACCTTGCTCGGCGATCTTCTGCCAGGCGCTTCAACCATCGGCAGTCACCTCTAGGGACCTCTTATGTCTTCTCTCACTTGTCGCCACCCTTTGTGAACTGAATAAAACGATTACATCCAGTCAGGGTATAGCGACAGTCCAACGAAGGGAGCTCATCATCGGGGATCGGCGGGCCTCTCTGTTATTACACGCAGTCCTAATGCCATATATATGAGAGAACTGAGCAGGAAAGTCGAGAAGCTCAGGACCAGGGTCAGGGACAAGGGGGGAGTTCTGGTAGTTCTAGGGGTCATCGGCAGGGTCTCCCTCAGAGCTCGACTCAGAATCGTAGGAGAGTCGAAGAGGTTGACCTGGTTCAGCTGTCGGAAGGGTCCACGTCGACAAGGTCACCAATCGCGATTGGTAAGCAAGTTTCCTCGGTCCGAATGCTCACTCAAGTTCAAGTAATTCGCCCCTCTTAATGACGCTTTAACGTTCACGTATTCATCAACGGATACGGTGTTCGTGAAAGGAATTAATGAATAGAGAGGTGAAATTTTAGAGATAGACGACGTGATGTCAAACGCTACCTTTATAGTAAGATGGGGCAGGTATCGACAAGGCTCTCTTGCTACATTGGAGTACTACTGGGCAGACAGTCAAAGCTTTGGCTTGTGGGAAGAGACTACTGTCTGGCCGTAATCCTGCACTCATATTAAATAGGTGCCAGTTACTCATTCAGGTCCCACTTCCTTTGCCTAAGCGCCCAAAACAGGAAGGGACCGAGTTCAATGTACATAGTATATTAACTGAGTTACCGGGATATTTAACGTCCCAATGCATCGAGCTGTAACGTAGCAAGTGCAGCCGAGCCAATTCTTCGATGATCCTCGACGAGACCACACCTGCTGGTGCAATTCAGGCTTGCTGATGGAAGCCTCCTTTAAGCCGTTCTCGATTGCCTTCTGTACTCTTCTCATAAAGGGAATTCGAATACCGCAGTCCGTGGCTTCGCTTGGCCCGTGACGTATTCGTGATGGGCGAGGTAGCTGACGAGCAGGGGCTAAGAATAAGGTGGTGAAGAGAATCTATGTGGACGTGAGCATTGGATAGATTGAAAACGCACACCCACGGGCTCCTCATACGCATGGTTTAATTAATGAATTGTCGTGGACGGGTACACCACAGATAGCTACCAGAATAACGTAGCAGAGGTCATGCTCCGGGTCAAGCTTTGGCGGCTTCTTTAGGCACAAACACGTTGATGGGCTCCCTTTATACTAAAGATATTTTGCTCGAAACCTAGCCACTTATCAAAGGACTCGCTAGACCAGACGACAAGGCCATGTTTTGGACGTTGTCCTCTGGCTTAGGCTTTGACAACTTCTCAAGGATTAAACGCCCATGAGCTCGATCTTTTACCAAAAGCTTCCCCCCCATAGCCAGGTGAAGGTGATCATGGTCGTGTTATCACGACATCTCAGGCTTCGTCCTGCGCATCAGGCTTTGGCAACATCTTCAGGTCTAACACATTGATGGGCTCAGGATGCGTTGTAGCATTCCAGCCTGTGGGTATGAGATAGATGAAAGTATGCGCGGTCTTTTCATCACGGGATAATGAAAGAAATTGTAACACAAAAGAGATGTATCTTCCAATATTGGGTATCTTTTCAAAAGTCTAGCAGTAATGCCTATGCCATCCAAAACTCCTCTTGCTATGTACATCTCACAAAATGCAAAACCCAAACGCCGAAGCCCATGTAATCTTCAATGCAAAAGTACCGAATTTTCTTATGCCTGCCAATCTCTCCTCGCCTTCTGTTGCGAAGTCAGGTCGTAGTTGGCATATCTGCACTTACACTGCTCCTTCCCCGCCGCGACCGTGACAGCGTTGCCAGCTTTATCCTGGCACTCTGGGCCCCCTTTCTTGACCTGCACGATTTCTACTTGGCCGGGCCACGGTCCCCACTTGACGTTTCCATCAGTGCTTGTCGCGTTCGCCCCAGACGCAACAGTCCCGAGCGGCGTGGTCGTGTTGCGTCTCGTCCAGAGAGTTGCGCGGAAGGCCGTGTCGGAGAAAGTACAGGTCGCAGCGCGTCCGTCTTCGGTGATTGCCTCGGACGGGACCACGGTCCTTGGGAGGGAGAAATTGAAGATGAGACGCTCGTTGAGTGTGTTTCCTTCGAGCAGTACCATTGTCTGGTTTGTGAACTGCGGGGCAAAGGGGTTCGAGGAGGACGAGACCTGGTAGGTATAGGAGTTCTTCGGGGAGATTGTCCAGAAGAAGGATGCGAGAGAGTCGTTTGCGGATTGAGAGTAGTTTTGGTATGGGTAGCAGCGCCACGTCGATGGGTTGGCGGTGCACCCAGTATTGGACTCTAACAGAGCCGTGTTGAAGGCGAAAGAGCCAGATGGAAATAGGGTGGTTGAGTTCGTGGTGGTATCAGACGTTGTTGGAGGAGGTCTTGAGAAGTGTTAGTGGTGGTGCAAGTAGGTAAGAGATGAGAGATTACATACGGACTGCGCATTCCAACAGTCAGACCAGCCGACAAACCAACAATCAGACCAATTCCAAGAATAAGGGCAACTATCATGCGGTATCTGTTACCGCGGCGAGCGATCCAGGGTCCCTTCTTGCCCTTCTCCGCGGCTGATGATGGCCCTACAGGCGTAGTGATGGGAAGGAGCCGAGACTTGTCCTTGAGAGAATTCCTTGGAGAAAGCCTGGGTGTGGATGTGCCCGAGCTCGGACGGCTGCCATAGCTGCCTGCGCTGAGTAGGCTGCGCGTGCTCAGAGTGCTAAGGGTACTGTCGCGAGACGAGCTGCGAGAATAGGCCGGGGGAGGGTAGGACGGATGCGAGTTGATAGCTCGTGGTACTGGCGAGCGGCCGTAGTATTTCGGTTTCGTGCTGCGGCATGGCGGTGGTGGAGGAAGGGCAGCCATGTTTGGGTGTGTGACGGCGGGGAGTGAGTCGTCTTCAGCAATGACAGGCATGCGGCCAACGGATGAGAATGTGGTGCGGCTTGAGCCCGGAGAGAAGGGTGACTTGGGCATCTTGTCGTCGGGTCTAGATTATACGGCGATGATGTAGTTGGTTTCGATGTGCGACAGATTGTCTGTTGTTATGCAGGACTGGCAGTCGACGTAAGATTACTCTCAAGTCGCTGAAATGGGTGTACAACAACGAAATTATTGTAATGGCGTTACTCTCTGTCTCTTTTGCCTTGGCGTTGTCGAGTGCAGATGGCGTCCAATCTCAATTATGTAAAGTGGGCGTAAAGAGTGATATGAGTCGTGATTCTTAAGACAGAATGGGAGTCCACGGACTCGAGACTACCAAATTTCAAGAAACCGGGCTGATGAAATGTAAAGACGGACGCGGCTCACTGCACCAAGGATCTGGGTTTGTCAGGCAGTGCTGTCGAGATCTAGAGTGCTGGTGCCCGTTGAACGATCTCAGACATGCGGCTTCATATAAGACTCCAGAATGCCGGAAAAGTCGGCTTTCGAGAGTATCGCGTGGCAGCAGTCCTCGTTTGTTTTTCTCTGGCTGGCGATTCAGCTAACGTCCAAGGAACAAAGGATGTCGGACGGTTTACGGGGTGATGGTCAACGACCATGAACCGAGTCCCGGCAGACAAAGAACTGGTGCGGAGAGGGGGAACAAGAGCAAAGGATGCTACGTTTGAGAATTTGTGCCTTGAAAAGCTCGATTTAACAAGAAATGGAAGCCCACCCGTTTGTCGCAGTGTAAGCCACTCCTTGGCTCCGGACGATGAACGTCTTCGTCTAGATTCCCCCGAAAGGGGTCCTAATTCGTCGCATGGCAATTCCGAAGGGCTGAGCACACAACATGTGGGATCAAGGTGCACGATGCGTGGCAATCCCATGTACTTGCATTTCAGCTGGGTTCTGGTCCTTGCCCGTCTGGAAGCGTTTGCAGTCCGACGTGCTGCTCTGTGATCGACAACAGGAACGGCTTCTTTCCGAGCAAGGATCGCGGGCGCGATGTCACAGGGGTTCTCGATCTGGCAGGCTTTGGTGGAATGTCAGCGACGGTGGCCAGGCGGGTATGTTGATTTTCTCATCGACAATCCGATGCTAAGCAGTAGCGAACAAAACGGGGTGGTCGGGAAGCTGCACACATGCCGCCATGCTTTCACGGTTTGATGGAACGGCTGTAGAGAACAATGGGGTGGAGAGGAGTCGTCGACGTCGAGAATATCCTTTGGAAGTCCAGCTCGCGGCGGCCCAGCAAATAGTCTCGATGATAGCGTCAGTCTGGTCGAGCCATCATTGGTGGTTGGCGCCAGACTAAGACACCGCTAACCACTTCTAGCCATGGAAGACAAGGAAACTCACAAGAAGTTGTCAGGAACCACTCGACGGCGTCAAGCCACCAAAACTTAAGCCCAGGTGCCAGAAGGGGATGGGTAAACAGCACCAGAGCACCTCTGACCAGAGCCAGATTTTTTCGGGACCCTGATCTGTCAGCGTGGGTTTGTAGAAGTAGTGGTTTGAAAGCTCCAATCGACTGATAATTCAAGCCATCTATCCATAATATACAGTAGATTGAAATGTGGGAGTAGAAAATGCCGTGGGGGGCGGATAAAGAGGCTCAAAAAGATAGGAACCGAAATGGCGATCTGCGTCGTGTGCAGATGTGCAGATTGCGCAGTGACGAGAAACACCGTCGAATGAGGGGCACATGTAGAAAACTAGGATCGGTATTCAAGCCACTAATATCGAAGTTTCTATGAACAGGTTACAGATACTGGTATGATGGCTCTTACTCTTGTTCAACAATGACGCAAATCAACCTTCCCTCCCACATGTCCAGGTACTCCGTATATCCTATGTCGTATCCGTACAAAGCAGTGCAGATGAATCTTCCTACTTCAGGCATCACCCAAAATCTCTTGCGTTGAAGACAGCGACGCCGTCTCCTTGCCCTTTCCCTTGGAGGAGTCGCTCTCACTCTCGGCATAGGAAGGAGGATCCAGCTCGTCTCCGCCAGCCACCCACACCTTGGAAAGCTCTTCCTCGATTTCCTGGCGTCTTGCCTTCCAATTCTCGACCTGCTCAAGGCGTTCACGAAGGTCCTGGAGCTCCTTCTCGACCTGCATCTTCTCATGTTCTGTTCCGATTCTTTCAAACTCCCACTCATCGCCACGTTCTCCGCCTCCGAGAATGAGGTTGTACGTGTGATACTTTTTGAGCGATGCGCGTGTAGAAATGGTGATGAGAGCTGTGTCATGTCAGAAAATCTCTAGGACAAAGAATGATTTTTCAACTTACTGATTCCTTTCTCCTTGCACACTTCGTAGAGCAGGCCCTCGACATCTTGAGACACAGCGCTAGTACCCTCGTCAAGGATGGCGAATTGAGGCTCATGGTACAATACGCGGGCGAAACCCATGCGCTGTTTCTCTCCACCGCTAAGAACATCTTTCCATTCTTTACGGGTGTCCCAACCACCTTCACGATCGGGTAGGTAGCCAAGACGGGCATCCTCCAAAATGCGCTTCAAGTCGTCTTCAGACTTCCTCTTCTCGCGCATATCGTGATGCCCGTCAGGATAGATGACCTGGTCGCGCAACGTACCGATGCTGAGATAGGGTCGTTGCGGCAAGAACATGATGCCATCCTGACCAATATCCTTCGGACGACTGACGAGTCCTCTGTAGACTGGCCAAAGGCCAGCAAGAATGCGGGCAATAGACGTCTTACCGACACCGTTAGGGCCAGAGATCTAAGCGCGTCAGTACAATCTTTCCTCCGCTCTTAGAGAACTGATGACTCACCAGAAGATGCTCTCCTCGCCTGACAACCATTGAGAGGGAATCCATCAGCTCCTCACCACCGTTGGGCCATAATGATGGAGCAACGACAGGCACGTTCTCAAACCGAACACCGTCGAAACCCTTCTGGATGGTTCCCTGAACATCCGAAAGGGAGTAGAGTTCGTTTTGTTGTCCTCGCAAGAAATAAGCATCGGCGTGAACACGATGCAGAGTCGAAATCAAGGTGTAGACTCGGCTGGTGTAGCCGGCAAGCTCGGAGAGATCCTTGATGGAGTACATCATCCTTCCGCCAGCATCCGCAAGTGAAAGCATGAGACGCTTGTTCGTAATGAACTCCTTCATGCGCCCGCGCTCCCTGCTTCCCTTTGCAGCGTTTTCGGCCAGCTCAGCAGCGCCGCCCAGACCTCCCCATGCTGGAAGGAATACTGGTAATGAGGATAGAAGGTAGCCGTATGCACTCCAACTGTACTTGAGTATGAAATCCTCAAGCATGTTGTACCGAATCTTGAGCATGTAGATGCCCTCCATCCAATTCTTCAGAGACTTGAACTCCTTGTTGAGGAAAGTCTTTTCCATGTCGGCACCTCCGTAAAACGCGATCTCCTCGGCATTGGCGATTAGTCGTGCATGCAGCCCCCTAAAGTCTCCCTCCTTGCGGCCCTCAACTGCCTTTAGTTTGCCAAAAGGAGGCGAGAGCCGGCGCAGAATGCTTGCTGTTAGGAAGTAGTTGCTCAACAAGCCCGTTAGAGCCAGTGGGCCCAAAGAGCGGAATAGCTGGTAGTTGAAGACGCAAAGATCTACAAAGGGTTTGCCGAGTGATGAGTAGAGGTTCGCAGCGGCAGCACAGAATAGTGTCAAATCTTGCGTGATAAATTGATCCGCGCCCTGGCCGACGCCCCCATCCAGATTGGAAAGCTTATAGTAGTTGAGGTTGTTGTTCAGGTATAGATCGTGGATGTACCGAGTAAGGCGGGTTCTAAAGGCAATGGACACCTTGGATTCGAGGAATTTGATCATCGCATTCGTGTATGACGCAAAACCGCCGAGACCACACCACTTTGAAATTCATTAGCATTGGTTGAGGGCGTAATGGCTGGAGGCTTTGAAACACTACTCACCTTGACTAGTCCCCAGAGGAATGCCTTCCCTTGTCCAGCAACCAGATCCCGCACAATCTCACCGTCAAGTCGAGCGACCACGAGGGAAAGGTAGGTGCGAAGCATCAAGAAAACGCTGTGACTCAAAAGCAGCCCAGCTTCTTTACTCGACCATCTCGGGATCATGATACTCATGAGGCTGAGGAACTGATGTAGGAATGCCAGGTTCAAGCCCGGCTTCGTCTGCGCTGAGGGAACGGTTCCGTCGCCGAGGCCAGATACCCGCGGAGGGTTGAGGAAGAGCCGGCGATGCGCCTCAAAGGTCAGCGGCTTTGTGGTCTGAATGACAACCTTGGAGGTTCCATCCTTGTATGGGACGTAAATCGTACGTGATCCATCCTTATTGTGCAGCCACGAGTTCGTACGGACAAGTTTGCGGCCCTGTTCCTTTTCCTCACGCCTTTGCCTCCACCAGCGTCTGCCTCCAGCCGCGCTGAGGACTATGGATGCGGCGAGGGCAAGTGTTCCGAGCAGTCGGGTCGTACGAGAAGTACTTCGGAGGCGATTGCGAATCAGTGTCGTATACTTCTCGAAGAAGGCGGCGAGAGCCTCCTCTGCGGCCGACTGGCGGAGTGTCGATTGTTCTGCCATGGCAATGGCAGTAGGAAGTGAAGATTGTCTTTCAAGACTTGCGACGTCCGCAGGCTCGCCACAATCAAGGTGCTACTACAGATGCGCAGCCATCACAGGGCGAAAACGAATGAGAGGTGCGAGCTGAGAGGTGCTAGGCTAAAGGAACGCGATTGATGCTCTGTCTCGTGATCGCTGTTGAACCGTTCTGGCTTTGTGTCTATGATGATCGTGAGGTGGTGAGGTAGTTCGAAATGGCTCAAGAAAAGCACGTGGTCGCATTAGCAGGCTGAGTCGTTTGTTGTTGGAGAAGCGGCGAGTTTGGGGAGCAGACGCTGGCTCGTGATCGCATTACGACATGTGAATGCCGGCGGGCAGTGGAGTTCCGAGGCACCCAGCACCCGAAGCGGTGGATAACTTGGGGAAAGCTGCGGGCGGACAGGTTCACGCTCCTCGGGGCTCTCCAGAGTCTCCACTAAGAATGGGGATCGTGCCGCTGAGAGCCCGAGACACCTGGGCCTGTGAGTGGTTGATTCCGGCGAGAATGACACTAACCTTATAGGATCTGGAGGGATGGAGCCAATGACATACCAGACGATAAACCCCAGCTTCTCGTCACATGATGCACCTTTTGAACTCGAACTTGAGGGGTCTGGGGTAGGTACCGTTGTACCTTGGCAGCTTGGGTACCTTGGCTGCGCTTGGTTGTATGGTTGATAAACCTGAGTTTCGACGAGGCATTCTTCTATGCGATGAATTTGAACCGTGCCAAGCTGCGATATAGCTGGAAAAATTCAAGACTATAGACTAGACTAGCAGTACTGGCGAGAACGGCGATTTCTATTTGTCCTGGTTTCCCAAGTTACCTGGATACAGACGTGTCGAGTTTCTGGGGAGGGGACCGTGGTCTGGGAAAGCAAGCCTGCATTGATTCCTCTCTTGATCTGTTTACAGGGCACCGCACGCAGCATCACTTCCTGCCTCTTACTCCACCCATCGCCTGGCAGGCACTCCCTCTTTGCATACACTCCAGACTTTTGAAGTAGGCAATAAAGGGACAGACGGCTGCCTCGAGGGCCCTGGCAATGGTAGTCAGTCCCTACCTTCCTGAAGCAATGACCAAATGGTCTGTTTTGGCAGGACAAAACGCATTATTGCCGTAACTCAAGTCGACTAACGTTACCTGGTAAAACAACATTCTATCATCACAAGATAGCTCCCTCCAGCCATTGATTTTCACATACAGGCTTGATTATACCGGCTTAATCAAGGGCATCGTCGAAACGAACTATATCAAGCCTCGACATAAACAACTTTAGCAAGCCCGCACATGCGCAATACGTGTGCAACGACATGGAGAACCGACGATTCCCAGAGAACTGTACATGTTTTCTGGAGCGCGACATCGCCAACAAGATCTTGTCCAAAGCGGAGCAAGCCGATGTCGTTCAGACCATCCAGCGCTTGTATAATGCTGGAGCCCCCCTCTTCGACAGAACACACATCCTCTACCTTGAAGAAGCGATCCGGGGAAGATATGAACACGTGAACTTGGGCGGGATGGACGGAAGCGCGTCTGTTTCGGCGGCTGATTGGAATTCCTAGGGGGAACAGTAGGCCAAACCACAACACGTCTGCAGCATCATGAGTAACTAACTCCACGAATGCCAGATACGAGCCAAGAATCGGCTTCCGTACCATCCAAAAGATGATCAATGGAGTTCCTCCCGATGGCCGAATGCGCACCTGGGGAGCCTTCAGCGCCTATCGTGTCGCCTGTTTCCCTAGACACACGGCACCATTTTCTCAAGACTTCTTGTCGAAAAGCCATCAACTGTGGGCATTGTATCAAGACCTATGGAAGCAAAGTCCAACCTGTTTAACCCTTATGTTACTGTTGGACCGGCTACCGCCACACATTCAAGTAACAAAGATTGTATGCTTTGGTCTTGGCGCGCTCTTGCCAAATGTCTGTCGGACGTGTCAGGACTGCCAGCGTAGTCCTGATTGCCAGGCACATAGGTCAATAAGGTCGAGGACTTTTACACAACATGCCGCTGCTGTCAGCATGATGCAAAAGTTGCGTCAGCAAACTCCCCATCTAGCATTCTACTCACAGGAGCCAGAATATTCTCCAGAATGCAGAGTTATTTTAAATCAAATGGGCATCCGTGTTCTTGATGGACACAGGGGTTTCCTCGAAGTTGACGACAAGACACTTGTTTTTTCGATCAAACCGGCCGTTCCCGTCAAGCAAATCATCACTGAGTTGGCAAGGCCAGCGATGATAATCTGGGATGCTTTGGGTGGTGATGAGAGGAACGATGATGAAAGGGACCCAGACAAGTGGCAGTTGCTGACTCAAAATAGTAGTCGATTGTGGCACAGGTAAGTTTGATCAACAACTGCATTGAAATTTCGAGGAAAGCTGATTGATTTTCTTAGTCCCTTTGGAGTCGACCCTGATTCATCACGGACGAGGAAAATGTTGGGCGAGGAATACGTCGCGTGTCCGTTTCTCGGAGACAGGCTGAACTTTGGACAGCTCGATATCCATATACGACGGTCAGCCATTGACATACTGGGTGGTAATGCTCCCCAGACGCCCTCCTCCGAGATTTCATCTGCTCTACCTTGAGTGAACGACGCTCGTCGAAGCATAAAAGAAGCACCGCAGCGAGTGCGGCTCACTGAGGGAGGCTTTTATAAGAGGAAACTTAGGAATAGAGTGCCTGTAACAGCTCGAAGACGGTGAGAGGAGAAGAAGTTGGCTCTTGGTGGGTTAGACTGGTGGTTGTTGTCGATACAGCACGGTATCATTGTACACTTAGACTTTGAGTGGAGGAATGGCTTTGGGCTGAGTAGCCAAGAACAGAAGATATCAACACCCTCCACTGGACTTTCCAACTTCATGTTGTTGTTCGTCAGCGTGAGGGCTGTGCGGTTGGTGGGACAAGTGAATGGAGTAGCAGAATGTCGGCTGCGGAGTCCTTGGGGAAAGTTGGGGATTGTGCTCAAATCACCATTCCGCAACTGCCCATTATCGTGCATGAGCTTTCGGTACCATGCTATAGGAACGCTAGCTTTCCTTGCTGAAAAGAGAATCACCAAGTAGCAGTGCAAGTATTCCGAAAGGGAAAACAAACCATCAACGTCCGTGGGCCTTTCCTCTGTAATTCCTGGCGTGCGTGTCTTATCGAGACGATTGTCAACTGTGTCAATTGGAACTTGGCTCAGCCGTTCTCTGCACAATGACATAATAGAAGCGGGAGGCATTGAACGAAAAAAAGCAAGTTCGTTCCCGTGGGTAGACAGTCTCCTTGGGACTCAAGTAAGGGACACACATATACACTTGCGGCCAGTCAATATGGGTTGCCATGTTTCATTCGAATAATTAAAGTCGAAGAGACAGCAGTGTATCCGTACCTAACACCCTGCCGGGAAAAGATGTAAGAAGGTTAAAATGCCCGTCTGCAGACTGCCAGACACACACGGGGAGTCCACGAAAGGAGGAGGCTCACCCCCCGCACAATACCTCGAGAGCATTTTGCATTGAATGGCAAGTTTACTCGTACAACCGGCGGCACGGCAATGGTGGGGCCCACACACCGTCCCGAAGCCGCCGGCGTTGGTGCACCACCCCCATGAGCCTCCGCCACACGAGCCTCTTTTTGGTTCAGGTATGTTCAGCTTGTTTGCTCCGGAAGAGGCTTGCCTATGTGCCTGTGTGTCTTGGAGTACCTCGAGTATGCAGGTAGGTACGATTCACGGTGGTGGTGGTGGTGGTGTCCTGGACTTTGGCCAATGCCTTTTGGGTTCTGGAACCTCTGACGCTTGTTTCTATGGAGTCTGGGGGAAGGAAAGCAAAGGCAAGGAAATAGAAAAGCTCAAGACTCTAAGCAGTCTGTCATCCCATGTTTACGCGCGGCGGGGAGATGCATGCCGAGACCGTTTCCGGTCAATGCAGATGCACCGTGTATGTGTCTTGTTTCCTTTTTCACACTCTTTTCTTCCTTGGGAAAATACAACGCTTCGGGAAACGTTGTCTGGTGACTAGGGGTTACTCTGGTGGTTTGGCCAGCAGGGGAGGCGATGAAGACTAGAGGATGGGAAAAGCTGCTCAACGGATGAACGTGGGGATTAGATACGGAGAAACACGTCTCTCGACTCTGAGAACCTGGAAGAGATCTCAGAGAAAGAGAGAGAGAGAGAGGAAGAACAATTTGCGGATTGCAACTTTTGCGGTGGAACCGACTGGCACAGAATCCGGCGCGAAGACATCCACGTTGGGAAAACGTTGCTTTGGGGACCTTTCGGGGGGTCATCCCGGTGTGATTTCTTGTCAAAGGTCCCCAGGTCGCAGCGGGTGCGGAATCGGGAAGCCCTTCCCCTGGCGGCGGTATTTCCCTCTTTTGCATGAGAACACCCCTGCTGCGCGGTGCGTGAGTGGTTCGAAGCCTGCGTCCTGCATGCCGTCCGGCGTCCAGTGCCTTGGAAAGCTGGGACTCTTCCTTTTATTTGTTCAGTTCACTTTTTTGGCGTCAATGTGGGATGGGGATGCATGAGAAAAAAGGCAGATGGCCAAGGTTGGTGGTACGGAGTACCTTGGTGTCCGTACTGTATGCGAGTGTGTGAATGAGTGAGTGAGCACTGAGTGTGAGTATGAGTGTACCTGCCCAACCAGATCCGTCACTCAATCGGGCGGTAACATGGCCAATGAGGATAGAGCAGTCCAGGGATGAGTTTGCCTGGGATGTCTGGATCTTGCCCCCATAAGCTTGTACGCATGCTGGTTGGTCGGGGACGTTCTTTGCGGCTGTGAATCGGTACGGGGTGATGGTTCTGGAATGTCTGGGATGCTTTTCGATGAGCGCTTGAGAGAGTGAAGTGATTGTCCAACCGTCATCGCGAGGCTTGCGAGGGGGGCGAGCTTTTGGGGGAGGTTTTGGTAGGACGACGGGAGTGAGCAAGAAGTAAGGTGGTGGTGTTTCTACCTAGCTTAGCTGCGTAAGGGTTCGGGAGCCCATTTCGCTGAGAAAAGGTATCCTCAATCCCATACGAGCACTCACTCTCACTCAGATGAAATTCTCAACTCTGTGTGCAACAATAGCATGCGCGGGGAATATCAGACGGAAGGCGACATGGATGAGGCAAACTCCAACCGCCCAATATTCTCATGCGCTAAGCAAATGGCAGCTGGCATCCGCCCAGCAGTGCTTCGAGCTCTCTGTCTCTGTACTTCATACCCTGGGCTCTGGAGTCTGCAGTCTGAAAGCCCCCCCGCCCACTCATCTTAGAAGAGCTCCCCGTCTGCTACCCGCATCAGAAAAGGTGGAGGGGGGTGCTGGGGCCATTGGGGGGCTAGCAGATGGAAGGTGGTGTCGCGCATCGGGACGAGGACGAGACTGTCTTTTTTTTTTCCCTCCCCGTCTTTGCCTTTTACGCAGTATTCCAATTGTCTTATTTGATGGGGGACCCGGGCGGCGCACGCATTAAAGGAGAACGGCCGCCCGGCTGAGTTTACCCTGCACTGGTCCGGCGTTAGACCAGACTACTCCCCCGAAGGCCCTAAGTAGGAGACGACGGCGGCGGCAGCACCCACTTTGCGCTTGGCACTTGCGCGCGGTGCTTACTCTGGAAGCTAATTCAAGCAAGGCAGGCGGCACCTTGAGGCGTCAGACGTGGTAGGTAGAGTAATAAGCCAGGAGGCATCTGATGCGACGACGGGGGCAAGCAAGACTCATGGATATTCTTCCGTAGGCAACAGACTCAGGTTGTGGACAGTGAGACTCAGGCTCAGTCAGACAAAATCCCCTCAGAATGTCTTTCTCTGTGAAGGCGATGGAGCATGGAACGAGTTCGGATAGGCGTGCCAGGGATGTTGTTCTTCTCTTTAGCTCACAGACCGGGTTGTGGGTTTTCTGATGTTTCTGTCGTCGTTGGAATTGTTCCTGGGCACTGGGGGCGTAATTTATGGGTCCTCTCTTTGCTTGCAAGTTGCTTGTGCTATCTGTCGTTTGTGTGTCTGCTCTTGGAGAAAGAGTTAGTTGAACTGTGAGAAAACGAAATGACGGCACTGGGATGCCGAGTGATGGGCTCAACAAAGAGCCAAGGACACGAGGTAATCTCTCTGACAAACACAGCTTCTTTGACGGTGCCCGAGGAAATTTTCCAGGAACGGCTACCGCGCGAGTGCCAGTGCCAGCAGTGCCAGCAGTGCCAGCAGCTCCGAAGCTCTGCTCGACTCGACTCGACTCGACTCGACACCCTGGATTCCACGATCCAGGTATATCGTATCAGCGAAGGTTGAAGACGAGACTTGTACTGGTGCATCTAGCATTAGCTGAATAGCTTCCCAAAGCGAATGGCAGACCCATCGGCCAAGGTCCAAGAGGGTATCGCGGTCGCCCATCTCACTTTACGAATTGGACCAATTCAGGCTCTAGCTCCTTGCGAAGCGTGTGATGGGCCGGGATGGACTCTGCTTGTGTTCCCACCATGGAGATTTCTGTAATATGAGCTTGGCGGCACGGCAATGGGAGAGAAATGGGAGATGAGACATGGCGTCTGATGCGGCGCGATAGTCGTCTGGTGCAGGGCACAGTGCGGATCCACTCACGTGGTCAGTGCAGGTAGGAGGATCCAGTGGATCCACTTTCAATCTCGAGGCAGGAAAGACGTCACTCGGACTCACTTCCTGCCATTCTCATCCATGTCAATTTGGCCCGAGATGCATTGATTAGGTACTGCGTACATTACTGTACAGTAGGTATCCTTTGCACAAGCTTCAACAGTATCAATATGTCTTGTCAACTGTGATCTTTGGGAACCCCCTATCGCACCCCATCTCTCGAGCCCGGTCTCTTCTTAACCAGGACGGGACGGGCTAATCTCACCGGGAAATCCACCCATACACCCTTCCAGGCCTCTTGATCTCTCTCTCGGTGGGCGCTCTCTGTTGTAATTGTATCCATTAGCTCGTTACTGTTCGTAGCCCCCCCGGTCTCTCCCTCTTCCATGATCCATCCTCTCTCTCTTTTTCTCTTCGTCTCCCAGTCTCCGTTCCCTTGAAGCTGCGGCCCCCCCCAGCTTCATCTGCACCTGTAGACACGGGCCAGCCCCTGGCCCTCCCAGTAGACCCCATCCAAGTGTTGCTTTCAAAGGCAAATCATCTCGCTTGTGCCTTTCACGCTCTTTCAGCCTCTGATACGTCGTCCTCTTGAGTCTTGCCCATCTTCCTCACTTCTCACCACACCCCGGGCCCTTGGCTGCCATCTGCTCTCTTCCTCTTCCTCTCGCCGCCGACGCCTTGTCTTTCTACTGGCCATTTGGGTTATTAGCTTTGCTTTTTTGGCTCTGCTGCTCTCTTGCTCTCGTTCTTCCTCTCTTGCTCTCGCTTACCCTTTCTCTCACTCTCCCGTCTCTCCCATCCATCCATCCTCTCTTTCACTAACCCCCCTCCCCCCCCCCGATTTTCCAATCTCCTTGCACGCTTTGCCGTTGCTCCATTCTTCGTACCTCGTCCTCTTTCACGCATCATCAAACTCGCCAAACTCGTCGTTTCCGACCTCTTCGGCCGGCCTCGTCCCCCAAAGCAAAAAAAAAAAAAAACATTCGAGCGATATCCGATATCTATCTCTTCTTTTTTCTCTTTCCAAAAAGGCCAACCTATTCACTTGTTACCAGCGAACCTTAATTTCTTCCGCGACGTACCTTGCTATTCCCTGCAACCGCTCGCTCGCTTTCTTCTCGCCCACTTTTTTCCCATCTGATTCGAGCACTACCACCGCCAACCATTACGACCTTGCCTTGGGACCGTCTCCAACTGACACTGGCCGCCGTAAACCATTGCCCCCCCAGGCCCAGCCACTTTGCCTCGCCCACCTAGTCATTCCATTGGCGCCGCTTCTTGCGCGACTGAGCCCAAACCATCTTCCATTCTCCGCGTTCGACCGACAACCTCACCGGGACGTCGCCTTTCCTCCTCTTCCATTCCATCCATCGCCCACCCGCGTCGATCTTTTACTTTCCGACAATTTTCCTTCACCTCGGACCGCGTGAAGAGCTTTGCGAATCGGCCTTTTACGGCCGACAACAGCTCACTTAAGGGGTTGAGGATTCTGGGAAGGCTTGCCGGTCCCCAAGAAGAAAGGAGGTGAGTGACGACACTACATGTTCAACTCTGCTTGAGCCCCCGACGCACCCTATCCGCCATCAATCTCGTGCTCGCGCGACACACCGCCTCACCGAGGGAAGAGGCATGTTTGCTCGTCTGTTGGTCCTGACCCACGTTCACGCGCACCGCTTGCTCCGTCTCGGACGCCCACAAGTCGACAAACACGACCTCGGTCATGTCTTAGACCTTGGAATGAGAGGCAGAGGCGGTAGTGTCATGATTGATCTAAATGCGCCCACTGGTGCTCGCCAGCCCCTCCTGGGCATCGTCGCTTGATTCATACAGAACCGTTGGTCTTGCTTTGAACGTCTTAGCTAATCACCTCCCTGCTCTAGCTCGACAGCATCATGTCCGAGAGACCACAACCATCCAACCCAGACGAAATCACACCACAGATTCAGCAAAACGGCCAGTCGAGTCAAGAAATGTCCAAGGAAAAGGTGCTTCTGGCGCCAGAGGAGGGTGGAAATTCAAAGAAGGGTAGGGGCTTCCTGCATGTACCGTCTCGGTCTTCCTCGCAGCGCAATCAATCCTCTCCGACGTCGACAGGGCTGAGCGGAGCAACAGTCAGCGATTCGAGAAACAGCATCGGCGGACGTTCGAAGGAGTCCAAGGGTAGTTTTCTAGGACGCCATCGAAATGGCAGCGTCGGCAGCCACAGATCCGGCATCGAAACCGAACCTACCAACACCCCCGGCAACACGCAACCGAATTCTCCCGTGAACCCCCCTCAGAAGAAGAAGAAAGGAGGGCTTTTCGCCCTTCTTGGGTGCTGCGGTGTCCCCGATAACGCGAACGCGATTGAGAACGGCGACGACGCCGTCCACAAGCTCGACAAGCTGCCCGCGAGACCAACGACCGCCAAGTCTCGACAGCCCACCCCGCAGGACCAACAACCCCCTTCGAACAAGCCGCAAATCCAGGAGAAGCAGCCGCAGCCCGAGCAGCCAATGACGGCAACCGAAAACAAAGGCAAGCGTGTGTCTGGAGCAACCACTGCCGACGATTCTACTGTTGGCGGAGAAGCTGGCGAATCCAAGCAAAACGTCGTCAGCAACGCCGGAGCTAGTAGTGCTGCACCCGCCATTACGGTAGAGTCGACCACTGGAGAGAAGACCAAGGAGGCGCCAGTGCTGGAAGCAGACAAGAAGGATGCCGAGGGAGACGAGGCGATGCCCGATGCGACTCCCGAGCCCGAAGAGAAGCACCAAATACCGCCCCCGGTAGAAGATGCGCCGACTAGCCAGCAGCTGCCGCCCCCTCCTCCGAACCCGCCAGTATCAGCTCCTATCGATGAGGCCATTCCAGAGCAAAAGTTCTTGCTGCCACCCATTGCACCTGAGTTCAAGGGCAAGAAATGTCTCGTGCTCGATCTGGACGAGACCTTGGTCCACAGTTCATTCAAGGTAAACATTGAAGCTGACTTTTGGCCCTATCCCACAAAATTGCTCACAAATCTGCAGATTCTCCACCAAGCTGATTTCACTATTCCCGTCGAAATCGAGGGCAATTATCATAATGTCTATGTTATCAAGAGACCAGGTGTGGATCAGTTTATGAAGCGCGTTGGCGAGCTATACGAAGTGGTGGTCTTTACTGCGTCAGTCTCAAAGGTAAGGCCGTCCTTCTGACCCAATCACTTGATTCTGTATGCTGATCCATCTAAAGTACGGCGACCCGCTGCTAGACCAGCTCGATATCCATAAGGTCGTTCACCACAGGCTTTTCCGCGAGAGCTGCTACAATCACCAAGGAAACTACGTCAAGGATCTTTCCCAGGTAGGAAGAGACTTGAAGGACACCATCATCATCGACAACTCTCCCACGTCGTACATTTTCCATCCCCAGCACGCCGTTCCCATTAGCAGTTGGTTTTCAGACGCGCACGATAATGAGCTGCTGGACTTGATTCCCGTTCTAGAAGACCTCGCAAAGTCGGATGTCCAGGACGTCAGCCTGGTTCTCGACGTTACACTTTGAAGCTAAAGATACCAATTTCTTTTCTTCGTTCATCACCTCCGAAGAAAATTTGCAGGACCGCGTGTCCCATCATAGCGGCAGGCGTTTGGGTTGAGATGGTTCATTTCCAGCAGGTGTAGATGTATCACTGTCTAATCTTACCTTATAATGAGCATGGTGGAGGTACCAGACCACTGAGCCAGCTCACGGTGGCTTTCACGCAGCAAAGCTCGATGGCCGCATTTCAAAGGACCGCGAGGATGACAATTTCCATCAAAGAACCTCGGGATCGGAAAGGGCAAAAGCAAGAAGGCAGGGCACTTTGGAGCTTGGGATGGCCGAACTGGGGCAGCTGGGGCATTTCTGTCACCTGGTGCTTCTTCGTCGGCATTGTTCGAATAATGCGGTTGAGGAACCCAACGAAAGATACCTGTCTGTCGAAGGTCAGTGATCATGAAGAACAAAAAGGCGGCTAGGGATACCATGGGTCCTCGTGTTGGAATCTGAGGGGGTTGATGCCCTCTACGTGGCAGGATTTTGTGTTCCCTTTGTTCATTTTCTATGTCTGAATAGTACCCTCCACCACCACTAACACTACCCCCATACTACCACCTTTCTCCGGGAGTCTGCAAGCAGACATTTCATCTTCCTGCGTTTATAGCCGGCAATTGTCGATAAGGAGAGCGCTGTTGCAGGAAAGCGTTGCGTTGTGTTGTATTTCACCATGTGCTGCATAAGCTAGCGCCGTCAGATGGAAGCCTTCCGCTGCAGAACGCGGCTGCTTCCTAGATATACAGTACCCTCAAATTCGATTGAAAGCATTCACAAGGTTATCAGTATATAACTGTATTTTTCTAAAGGACGGAGTGAAAGGGGGGGAAAGCATGTGCAACGACGAATTACCGCATCTGCATCTCGCAATGTTAGGATGACCATGTATGCCATAGCCTCAGGTGGTAAACTTGACTGGTCGTTCCAGGATTAGGGGCCCAGTGGAGTTTCTGGGAGCCGCTAGCCCGCTATGCTGAGCAGCCACCCATTAAGGTATGTTCGCCGCCCCAGGGGGGTCTGGAACGTCGGGTCGGAAAATCCCCTGGGCGGCGCCCAGCTGGTCCCTTTTCCAAAACTGTGGCCTCAACTCTGCCACTTTTGAGCGCGGTGCACCCCCGACCCTCTAGAGAGCTTGAGTTCCCATCATCACGCCCTCCCGACCGACCATCCACATCCCACACCACCCTCTCCGATCTTCGATTCTGCTACCCGCGTCGACTCTTTCGAACGAATTCTCCTGGTTTCCGAGTATCCTGCAGCGATCTTGGATCTTGTCACTCATCACACTCCTTCACAATGGTTAGTTATTTTACTTTCGACGGCAATGGCCAGGCTGGCCCCTTCAAGCTCCCCCTTGCCGAATTGCATGTCGTGGCTTTACTCTGCCATGTCGCACGCGACTCTCTGGGGTATTGAGGACCAGACGCGAACATTGGAGTCTGCGCTTGGTTATAATCAGTCAATGAGCGCGCGCCACGGTCGCGAGACCTACAGATGAAGCTGAATAGGAGCAAACCGCTAATGTTGGAATCGTGGCATTGCAGTCTTCCCCTCGCCCTTCCTCGCCCGTTAACGGAGCCGGCGCCGCCGCTTCTGGCGCCAGCGTCGCGCGTCCTTCCTCGCCTACTCCCCCCGGTGGTCCCAGAACTGCCATCCGTCGCCGCGCGGCTGCCGACCAGAAGGAGAAGATTGCGAATGCGCGGCCGAACAGCACGAGAGCTGCCGGTGCTGGCGGTAGCAGCAGCACCATGCTGAGTACGCTCCCATCCCCATGATGTGTCTTTAATTCTTCAGTGATGGCGTGGGAGATGTTGGCGAAGTGGCTGGAACGAAGGAGAATTGGAGACGAAGAAGCTCAATTGGTTCCAAGAATATGGATGCTAACGTTTGGGTCATGCAGGACTCTACACCGACGAGTCTCCCGGCCTCAAGGTCGACCCTGTTGTTGTCCTTGTTCTTTCCCTTGTTTTCATTTTCAGCGTTGTCGCCCTTCACAGTAAGTTTGACCCATGAATTCGTCACTCCTCGAATTGAGCAGTCAGCTGACCCAACGGCGCGACAGTCATTGCCAAGCTCACCCGCAAGTTCTCCTCTTAAGCGACTTGTGACAATTAGGAGAGATGCAAAAGCTAGCCGTGGTTAGAGCTCGCACAGCTATGTGAGGAATCGCAAAAGCAAGGGTGATGCTGCCATAACCCAGACCAAAGGGATACCACTGCGACGAGAAGGAAAGGTGGGCGTGTCTACAAAGGCACAGACTGCTTTTGGGATATGCGAGGAGTGGCATCTGACATCAAAAGATAACACAAAAGCAACCTTTTGACGATAATGGACAGTGGAGTGCCTACCTGTGCTTGAGAGGGGGAGCACTTTTGTCGATGAGGCAGAGAGCATGATTGATGCGCGCCGCTGTGTTATATTATACCTCTTTTTACATTTTATTACGCTTCTAGTCTAGATAGTCCAACATGACCTCTGGAACCCAATGTTGTGCTATTTCTGAAAAAGGGCGGCGCTTGTCTCTCGTAGAAGTTGTAGTCTTTGAATCTTGGCCGCACCGGAAATCTCAAAGTTCCAGCAAGTTCCACTTCCAGCTGGTACTGACTACTCTTGTGGCGACCCTGAGCTCGATGGGAAGGTGACTGCCCAGGCGAGAAGCTCGATCCACCGTCCCACAATGGCGACTTGAGAGGTGGAGGCTATTGATTTATGGTTTAGAGTTGACGAATTACTCTCGAAGATGCAATCAGGAGGCTTCCTAAAGCACCAACTGTTCGGAGGAACTTTATACAGAAAATGAAGTCTTCCTGTGTCCTGAGTTAGCAGGAATGGAGCTTAGTTCAATAGCTGTTCAACTAGTGTCGCATGGGGGCACGTGAGAGGAAGCCAGTATCCGAACTCATTTTGGGAGGTGACCAGAGACGTTCCGGGTCCGCGTGCCCACGGCGAGGTCCAATTGGAAGAAATGTCCATCCCCACCAACCCGTATCTCCTTCCCCATATTCTCTTTGTCAGCCAATTACTACTCTTTCGTAATTGACTCGGTTGGCCACTCGGGTTATCCACCCGCGCACACAATGCCATTAGCCAATAGCTACTTATTTGCAAATTTGCGGATAGATTTCTAACGATTCACCGAGAGCAGCTTAGCTGTCTTCCTCCCCTTGGTGTAGTTGGTTCATCACGTTCGACTGTAATGGTTACATTGTCATCGAAAGGTCTCTAGTTCGATTCTGGAAGGGGAGAACCAAATCTTTTGCAGATTTGTCGTAGTTGTTTTTGCTGCCCTTGACTTGCTATCTCTTTTCACTTTTTCTTGCTTTTATGCTTGGTTACCACAACTTATTATTTCTGTTGCTTCTTCTCGTATCCGCTCTTGTCGTATCTACTTAGGAATACGTGAAGTCACAGGCGGAGTAAAATCAAGTGACGATGGAGGTTATGTATGTATATCCTGTGGAATTGAAGAGTTTATTGTTGCCTGATTGACTTTTGTGCTGCATTACTGCACTCTGCACCACTCGACTATCAAGCTGGGGACCTGTTGTATCCCGAGAGTCGCGGGCCATACCTACTTATGTAGTACGCCTTTGACGAACCATCACCTTGGACTGATCCCGCTCACTATGAAAAGGCTCTGTCCACCTGCAAAGAGCCAAGACACTCGATACCCTTCCCATGTGTATGAGATTGGTGGTCACCTCTCAGTACCGTCGATTTTGAGATGTATCATATGACTGCTGCCTCGACGGAAGCGACCTCCGAACTGCCCTGGGACAGGAGAATAGGATCATGACCGTACAGCCAACGCTCCACGCTTCCACGCGTCCCTCAGACCTGAACCCAGACCCTGGTCAATCTTTATTTGGTCTCCCTGAAAGTATCCTACTGATACTTTAACTGACCAGCGAACCGGAAGACAACTTATAGTCGCTGCCTAACGGTAAACCTAGGCCTGCTGCTCAGACTTTGAAATCGTCTTCAAAACCTCTACTACGCATTTTTCTTGTGCCTGAGACGCGCGTTGAATGAGCGGGCCCCCCATGTCCTCCAAAACCCATCATCTCTTGGTCTTTGAGTCTTGTGGCTGTGCGGGGTTCCAGAACCAGGTCCAGCTGGCCCTCTTCGAAATCGTCCCATCAAAAACATCCCGTCATTGGCTCACCCGATGCCATCTTTCTTGGAGGATCTTCAACGCCTCCTCTCCCCCACGTCCTCGAGCCATTGGACGAATGATGTTGCGAAAGGGAGGTGGACGTCATAGCTCTGTCCCCCCGTCCCATGGAATTTCAAGCCGGGAGCGCCCCGTGCCAGTCGCCCCAGTCCAGTTCGCTTGAACTGAGGCGTTGAACTTGTTGATGCAACTTTTCGGACGGTTGCGTAGGGCGGTGCTTCTGGGCTACCTCCCTCCCTTTTCCAGGTTGTCCATCTGCTTCACCTTACAAGGCACTGGAGGCCCTGGAAATCTGGGAATCCTGGCGGAGAAGTCGCTAGTGGCCCCCTTATCCGCACCCACCCCACCTCTATAATCTGACCCTCGAACCCACTGAAGCTCCAGGGTCTTTCTCACGAGCTTGATCATCTCAGCTTTTGGCTCCGATGATGAAACGGGGCTGAATACTTATGCTGCCCGCCTTCGCTCCAGCACCTCGTTTGTCACTGCATTTGTAGATCCTGCCTTCTGACCATTCTCTATTTTCTCATAACCCGACTCAAGAATCATCCTATCCAGCAATATAATCGTACACACGCACAAATTCCTACCTACCTTGCCACTCTTGCTTGCCCCTCTTTTGTGTCACTAAGCTCGTTGCATTGTTGAGAAGGCGCCCTCTTCGATCGAAAGCTCCCGTCCGTCCACAATTCTACAACAACAGCTACGAATATCGCCGCTTCGATCTGCACCCAACCACCCCGTGATGACCTGATCTTTGGAAGTAATCGCAGTACCCCTCGACATCGTCACAGGTCTTCATACCCCTCGGCTGACGGGTCGAACCGTTGACCTTCCCCGCAATGACGGTCGTCAAGAACTCAGAAGCGGGCGCGAGCTCGTCTGCCCCTCCCCCGCCACCAAGACGGCCCAGCGATTTGAACCTCGACAGGACAGACAGTGCTGAGGTTCCCGACGCCCTCGTCTCTGACGGATTCAGCTTGCCTTCTCTGGAAGCCGAGAACGAGGCCCCGCCTGCCTATGGAGACCTTCCCGACCAACTGCAGTTTAACCAGGCTGGCTTCGAAGCCGGCGCCAATGTAACAGGTAAAGTTCAACTCCTACCACCAACGCCGCCCACATCGCAAGGTTCGCTGACGAGTATTACTTAGGGGATGGCCGAGTCAACATCAACATCAACCAGAGCGGCAACCGCCTGGCCGAGATCCTCGCCCCGACGCTACGAAACCAACTTCTTGCCGACAAGCGACCCCAGGCCCCCCTGCCTCCCGCCTACATCCCCCCGAGCCTCGGAGGCCAGCCGGGCCAGACCCCTCCCCCGCAGCTCAACGTCGTTATACAGATTGTCGGCTCACGGGGCGACGTCCAGCCCTTTGTTGCCCTCGGCAAGGTGCTGAAAGATACCTACGGCCACCGCGTGCGAATAGCCACGCACGCGACGTTTCAAAAGTTTGTCGAGGAGAATGGGCTCGAGTTCTTCTGCATTGGCGGCGACCCCGCCGAGCTCATGGCCTTTATGGTCAAGAACCCCGGTCTGATGCCCGGCTTCGACACGCTCAAGAGCGGAGAGGTTAGCAAGCGCCGCAGGGGGATTCAGGATATTCTTCTTGGGTGTTGGCGCTCTTGTATCGAGGCGGGCGACGGGTTGGGTCCACCACCGAAACCGCATGCCAAGGACCAGCCGCTGGACGAGCACTACGGGATACCTGGAGACCCGACGCAGAAGCCCTTTGTGGCTGATGCCATCATTGCGAACCCGCCGAGTTTTGCGCATATTCACATTGCAGAGAAGATGGGAATTCCGTTGCATCTGATGTTCACCATGCCGTGGACGCCCACGCGCGCCTTTCCTCACCCGCTAGCCAACATCCAGTCGACAAACACCGACACGGTCATGACCAACTATGTTTCCTATGCATTGGTTGAAATGATGACATGGCAGGGCCTGGGCGACGTCATCAATCGGTTCAGAGACAAGGCGCTGGATCTGGAGCCCATGTCGCTGATTTGGGCCCCGGGTGTCCTGACGAGACTCAGAATCCCCTATACGTATTGCTGGTCTCCGGCACTGATTCCCAAGCCGAACGACTGGGGTCGCGAGATCGATATCTCAGGATTCTACTTTTTGAACTTGGCCTCGGCATTTACCCCAGAACCCGATCTGGCTGCGTTCTTGGCTGCTGGGCCTCCTCCCGTCTACATTGGTTTTGGCTCTATCGTGGTTGATGACCCGAACGCCTTGACCAGGATGATCTTCGACGCTGTTCATCAGACAGGTGTACGCGCGCTCGTCTCTAAGGGCTGGGGCGGCCTAGGTGCGGAAGATGTTGGACTTCCAGAAGGGGTCTTCATGCTGGGCAATGTCCCCCACGACTGGTTGTTCAAGCACGTGTCGGCCGTCTGCCATCACGGTGGCGCAGGTACTACTGCCGCAGGTATCCAGGCAGGCAAGCCTACCATCGTTGTGCCGTTCTTTGGTGATCAGCCGTTCTGGGGAGCCATGGTCTCCAGGGCGGGTGCTGGTCCGGATCCCATTCAATACAAGGAGCTCACGGGAGACAAGCTTGCCGAAGCTATCAAGTTTGCCATCAAGCCCGAGACCCAGGCTAGGGCTCAGGAGCTAGGTCACAAGATTCGCGAGGAGAAAGGTACTGACTTGGGCGGTAAGAGTTTCCACGACCACTTGGACACCGACGAACTTAGGTGCTCTATCGAGCCCAGTCGGGCGGCAGCTTGGCGTGTGAGGAGGACGAAGGTCCGCTTAAGCCCCATGGCTGCCGCGGTGTTGGTAGAAAGGGGCCTGATCAAATATTCTGATCTCAAGCTGTGAGTGCTCGTGTCCCTTGAATCACTACATGCGAAGTCATCACTAACAATTCACAGCTACCGGCCCAAGGAGTACATTACAGAGGGCCAGCCCTGG